ATTATCAATACGTGGTATTAGTGCTTGAAGTCACTAACTTCTAGCTTAAACCATGTTTGTAGATGCAGACTACTTGATTGTGGTCCACTAGACTATTGTAACCAATGGTTGGAGACTCTAGGGTGACATGGCTCAGAATCGATCACAATGACGTAGGTATATACACTGTTTGTCTGCCCTTAAACCATGAGATTAAAATTGATATATATCTTCCTTTTTACTAATTAATTAATCCTTATACACAAACTTGCTTTTCTATATTACCTTCATTGAATTAAGTACTTCTATGAATTCGGTGTTCATCGTGTTGTGCCAATGAAGTGCGGTAACTTGGACCGATGCATATATGTGTCTGGTACTACGTTGTGACTGACTGAGGTTTGTTAAACAATGTTTTTTTTCTAATCGTTTCAATTTCTAATTTTATTCTCACATACTCTGTCCGAATAACTTAATTTTCTTTGTATCCACCTGATGCATTTACTGATTACTAACTTTAGAAAAAATATTAAAAAGACATTGGTAAATTAACTAACTACCATTTATTCGGTATTGATTTTATACTCAATTTCAAGAAATAAGCTTATCTATTAATTAGCATAAAGCCTTGACGACGAACAAATTGAAAGGGTTTATTGCATTGTTTCTTTTTTGTTATTGTTGATGTGAGTGCACAGACCAATCTGGGCTACTTATCTTTCTGTTCTATTTTAAAAAGATTAAATAGTGTATTTATTGATTTCACTTATGGTTCAGAAGGGGTTTTGTGGAGATTTTAGTAATTTCGATAGTTGAGATCATGATTCAATTGAAACTAGACCACCATGGAAAACCTGGAGGCACTGGACGGCCATTTCATCCTATTGTGGGACTACGAAACAATGCGCCTCCACGATTCCGCCTCACGAGATTCGAACCGAAGACCTATCGGTCTCGCGTGCGAACGATTAACCTCTAGACCACTGAACCGGACGGCATCCAATGGTGCTAATGTCTAACTTCAAGTAATCCACGAAATTGAGCGACACATCCACCGTTGTCATCATTGAGTTACTATCCCACAACTGACCCGAGTGAACTCGACTGGTCACTGTTTCTCACTAGAACTCCAGGATGTACAACTTTTTCGTGGATTAATTGAGGTTAGACATTGACACCGTTGGATCTCGGCCGGCTCAGTGGTCTAATGGTTAAGTGCTCGCGCGCGAGGCGGGATCGTGGGCGCGTACTGGTGAGGAGTCCCAAAATAGGACGAAACACCTGTCCAGCCCTTCCAAGTTCCCCATGGTGGTGTAGCTTCAATTGACTCATGATCTCAAATATTGAAACATAGTTCAGTTAAAAATTCTACCAAGAAAGACATTTGTTAATTAAGGGAGTACCTCATAATTTTTTAAAGGATGTAAAAGTAAACTACTTACACTATAATCACTATTGATTTCTATTATGAGTCAATGTCTGATAATAGCTCAGGTTCACGAATTGTATCATCTCTCTAAGATCCCAATCAAGAACTTATAATGAACTAACAGATATCAGGGATACACAACTTTCTTTCTTGAACTGTACTGAAGTAAGACGATCATTCAACGAGTAGTAGTTCTTGAAAATTACGTATGGATTATTGAACAGTTCATACTGACTGTTAAAGTACAAAAACCAATAAATTTCATCTCACTTCGGACATATATATCTTTATTTAGAAAAGTTATCATGCTTCAGATTGAAGACTGGAAGTCACTAGGCGGATACTATTCATAACAATCAGAACAACAATTAACATAGGTATTCTACGTTATACCTTTGTGATGGTGTTTCTCCAGCTATCCAATGCTTCTTTAGCTTCAGTTTCATCTTGGCAACTACCAGGTGGTAATTTGAAGCTATATCAGCCACTCTCCCTGTTCTCCCGTCTTCCATTGATGCAAATATGATCTGTCTGATTCTCTGTAGTCTAATCCGGTGAGAGCCATGTACTTTTGTGTATGCTGTTGTGTGGGAATATAGTGCCAATATAACAATTTTTTGAATGCACATACATGTCGAAATTTCTCACCATTGTCGTTCCTTTCTCCCAGCCCATGTCGTCTCATGATATCTTCATACCCGATGTTGTCCATTCCAAATTTGGCTTTTAGGTCCATCACCAAGATGGTCAGGTTCTTTCCTATCTGTACGATCTTCTGCAGCCTCTCGTAAAACTGTTCACTATCGTCTTCATGGCTACCATTGGTGGGAGCATCGCTCTGGATAACATTGATTGTAATCCCTTCCTTTTTCTTAAAGGATAGTTTGATGGTTCTGGATCGACGAGATTTTCATCCTATAAGTGCATTTCGTGCTTCTTTCAGCAATATCAGTACAACTTCCTGTGTTAGCAAGATTTTTTCTTTTCCATGACCAGAGTACAACAGCATCTCTTTCTAATCTAATATTTTTTGTCCAGCCTGGATGCAACTAGACGATTTGGACTTCGCAGATGACCTAGCCTTTCATCACATACACGCCAACAAATGCAGATGAAGACAACTAGTGTGGCAGCCGCCTCAACAACAATAGGCCTCCACATACAGAAGGGAAAAAGCAAGATCCTAAAATACAACACGGAGAACACCAACCCAATCACACTTGATGGAAAACCTCTGGAAGATGCGGAAACTTTCTCGTATCTGTACAGAATCATCGATGAACAAGGAGGATCTGATTGAGGTGTAAAGGCAAAGATAAGCAAAGCAAGGGAGTCATTCCTACGGTTGAAAAACATATGGAGCTCAAAACAACTGTCAACCAATATCAAAGTTAGAATTTTCAGTAAAAACACCAAGACAGTTCTATTGTGCTGAGCTAAAAATATAAGAACTAGTACAGCCACAATCAAAAAAGTACAAATATTTATTTATGGTTTCCTTATACAAACGGAAGCACACAAAGGACAACGAAAACGATGTGTTATAAATAATAGGAGTTTTGTAAACTCTTGCTTTCACGAAAGCATTGTGGAGAGTTACTCGATGGTCATTGACTCGTAACTATGGTGCAAGATAAAAATGAATTAGTGTCGACTGAGTTACATTGAACTTGAGTTATTAAGTTTGCTTCTCTCCCCCGACACAGTAAACTGTTTCATTTTTTGAAAATCATTGTGAGGGTCAGTTCCAAAAGCAAATTATCAGTTCAAGAATATCTGTTTTCTCAGTTGTTCATCAATTACCTGGGCTATCATAGTTTCGTTACTGTTCTATAGTTTAGTTTTATTCTAAAAACGTGCTTAACTAAACAAACTATCTACCGAATAAACATATATGAGGACAGATCTGAGTAAGTTCGGTTACGAGAATAATTGTACTAATATTCTATGCGTTACTACCGAAATTAAAGGTATATCATTAGCCAGTGAATCGTAATTCCTAATGAAGATACACAAATGTTAGAAGCTGTAACAAGTAGCTTACATTCAAGTCTGTTAGTTAGCATCGACTACATGTGGAGGTTCAATAAATATTGCAAAATAATAACTGATATGGCTAAAGTTTATGATATGTGGGTGAGAATGATTTCTTGTTGGCTTAGTTAGGCATGTAGATAGTCTAACAGGTGTCAGATGAGTTATATATTATTAATGATTGTTCATTGTTGTTGGGTTGTATCGGGTTTTGGTGTGGAAACATATTTACGTTCTAGTCCGACTAATCACATGTTCTTGATCTGAGTTGTGTTGAAGTCCTGTAGAATAGGCACTGGGAACGAATCTAGTGTAGATATTCGTCTAAGGTAAATTAACGTCCCATACGTTTAGACGAAATACAACTGAGCGTTATAACAGTTTACAAAGAATGGGAAATGTTTCAGTGATATTAGGACAATACTACTATGGCGTGTGCTACTGATGTCGATATAATATAAGCAGTATGAATCATCTATTGAAAGTAAAATGCCTGATGGCAGAAGGTTAAGATGAAAAAAAAGAGAACAAGAACAAACAAGAATTGGTATGCAAACGAAAGAATAGTGAAGTCTGAGACAATTGATTAAGATTTTGCTAATGAACTATTTACTATATGATTCTCACCATTTTACTAAGATGTTCTGTAATTTTGTGTCCAATCACATTTGATTGTCCCAACATGTGTTCTCGTTCACCGTACTACTACTACTGCTACTACAACAAAAAGAACACCGATATTTCCTGATTATACACAAGCATTTTTAAATAGAGTATTTTTACATGAACAATATCGTTGTATCTCTTCTAATGATCGTTAACAGAAACGTTCGTTAGAAAAAGAACAATTACACATTATAATAAATAATTTACTGATATACATATATAGTTCTTCAAGGTTAATAATAATAATAGTAATAATGAGAACTATTAATAACAAAGGTGATCATATATATATATATATATATATATATATATATATATATATATATATATATATATATATATATATATAGACCAAACATAAAATCACCATAGTTTTATATTCATCATTGTAATATAGTCATAGTTTTGAATATATGGAAGTACGTAATGAAGGCAGACATAGCCTATAATGTAACTGACAGGAACAAATTGACAATCTTCAAATATAATATGAATGAAACAAAACATCAATAGAATAGAAGAAACATTTTTTTAAAAAAAAACAACAACAACATATCATTCCCTTTTTTAATATAAACAAGAAATTAATGAATAAAACATTGAACAAAATAAAATCTGAAAGACAAATGATGAACAAACTGTGTTTTCTTGTTTTTTTTTGCACACGATGATTACATCTGGAAGAAATACATTTGTATAATTGTATACAGTGATGAGAATATTGAATTACTTTAATAGATAGATAAATATAAGATAATATTGTACATGTACATATGCATCATTAGGATGCTGGATTATACAATTCCATGAACAAAACCTCTTAAGGCACATTATTATTATTATTATCCTTGAAAAATATACATAGGGGAATATATATATATATATATATATATATATATATATATATATATATATAAGTATATAGACCATTGATAAGTTGATTAGGTGATATCAGTAAATCTGACAATTAAACAATCATTACATAATCAATTGAAGAAGGAAATGTTTCAGAAATATTAAAGAATAAAATATTTCATTGAATAAGAACAAACTCATCATAATACACAAATATAAATGTATAATATTCTACAAAATAAAAATTAAATTAAACACAATGTAGATTAAATGAATGTAACATAATAAAGAGGAAGAAATATATTCAATTAATGATTAATTAAAGTTTAAGTATCTTTTTGACGTGATCTAGAACGATAAGATTTTTTTGATTTATTAAGTGAACCTGATGTTCGTACTTTTGTATGATCAACTAATTTCATAAGAGGATTAGAATCAGTAAATAATGAAGAAGAAGAAGAACTAGGAATAGATTTTCCAATACCATGAGTTAAAGTGTTAACACTAGATATTGATGTTTCATTTGAATTACTACGATTATTATCTGATAGAATAACTGATGAACGTGGACTACTGGGCTAATAAGGAAAAAAAATTGAGAATAAAATAGGGAATTAATACAAAGTAATACATTATTGGTTTTTTTTTAAAAAAAATCATAAACCTTATTCAAGTAAAGATGAATAGTGGCTAGTAGTGGAATCCAGGACGCGCGTTTCATCTTATTTGCGACTCGTTCACTCCGCGACTCAAACATCAACTCTGCAATGCAGGTACATCCAGCTGACGAGTCACAAATATGAAGAAACGCGCGTCCTGGATTCCACTGCTAGTCACTATGCATCTTTGCTTAGAAAGTTTGTGACCTAAGGCTATATCGAGGCAATCCGAGGGAGGATGCCCATATGCCAACATGAAACTGATCAATTGCAGTCCTAAATAACAATGGGAAGATACGAGTAAAACAACACCAAGTGAATATAAACTTTATACATAGAAAAATATTAGGCAATATAAGGACTAATAAACTGAATTGATTGTCTGAAATGCAAGCGTAATTTCTTTGAGTTCGACACATAATATTAAAATCATCTTCAAAATTATAATTGAACCTAATCAATCAGTGATATAACACAAGACAAGTCAATTAATTCTAAGAGATGATTCGAGCCGCATTTGTTTGTTATAAGAATAATGGAAAGTAGATTAACAGTTAGTTATTACTTAAATACTAATTCATTATTAATAGTAATAAAGCTGGTCTAAATGTAGTGGTCGGGTTTGCCTATCATGATGAACCAATCGAGCTACACTGGCTGGAACAATTGTTCTTCAAGGTTCTACCATACCGCAAAGGCCGGTCGAAAAGCGGTAAGACCAAAAGCAGCAAACCTAAGGTCTGAGGGCGAAGTCGTACTGCTGACTGTACAGAGGTGTCACGGCAGTAAGGCGTTTTCTTCAAACAACCAGCATAACAGCGATCTGTCTTCCCACAAAGAGGTGTGGGGTTAGAAAAGGTCGACCCTATAAATGCACAACTCCGCCTGGAGCCCCTTTCCGGGGGCTACTGCCGGTCCCAAGCCCGGATAAAGGAGGAGAGTTGGGCATGGGGTTAGCGACCCCATCCCATAGAAAACTAACTCGCTAAAAAAAACGCTATAAATGCACACCTCGCCGTGTCCCACGGATATCCGTCTCCGGCGGTAAGGTCTCAAAATTACGGAACTAACACGAAAATTACCCACAAAAACGTCGGGTGTGACCGACCTCAAGCAGTTGTCCGTTGGGAACTGCGGTCACGCTCTTAGGTCACTAAGCAATCTTTCTTTTATATATTACCACCATTGAGTTGACTGCTTCTATGAATTCGGTGTTAATCTTGTTGTGCTAATGAGGTGTGGCAACTTGGATCGATACACATATGTGCGTGGTCCTACGTTGTAGCTGACCGACTGAATAATAAGCTGGAATTGTGAGAAAAATAATCGCTCACAAAATTAACACAATCTCAGTGTTGAAGATTACACTGAACCGACCAAAAAGCAAAAGAACTGTTACCATCAGTCGATTAGCTCAACAGAATTCTTGATTAAGTGAAACAATCTTATTTATGAAAAACATACATCCGATAAGCTAGTCAACTCTAAGCATGTTTTGTACCTGTGCTGATATTCTTACTCAAGTTTAAACAGTACGTGAGAAATTAAAAACAAAACACGCCATTAAAGGGATCCGATTATGCATATAATCAGCTTACATGTTCATGTCTGAGTGAGAAGAAAAAAATGTATATGTACGCTAATAACTTTTGTGCCTATTAATCAAAGCTTTCTAGTCATTTCAGTTTCATCGCTCACATAGCTAGTTGGGTAAATGTATAGAAGGTGTGTCTATCTGAACTGGACGATCGCGGAGCGTAACAACGTCCGAGTAGTAACTATGTGTTATCGATTTATCATATGAAATGAATTGATAAGTATGAAAACAAGAATCATTTCACACCAGACTATCACCAGTTCATAAGCAGTGTATGACGTGGAACAAACGGGCATGGGGGAATCAAGTTGCTCCAAGGAACAGTGAGTGGAAAACTATTAAGATAATTAATAGCAAAGTAATATATGGGTAGTGGGAGAATCCAAAAAAAAAACATAAAATTCAAAAACAAGGAATGTATTACCGGAGAAATAAAAAGCTGAGTTACTAAAACTGAAGTTTTGAACACCTGTAACTACTGATAAAGTTATGTGCATAAATAAATGCAAAATGAAACAACTATATTTCCTCTATGTAACAGATGGAAAGCAGATAGCGGTTGAATTTAGGGCGCACATTTCGTCCAATACGGGACTCATCAATTGGACATACCTGCTAAAGCTCAGTGCTTATGCTTATATCGGAACTCGAACTCAGAGACATCAGTTTGAAATATCACAGCACTATCCACTGAGTTGTTAAATCCTGATTTAATGAATTGTTGAATGATGTAAAGTCTATTTTCTATGAGACAATATTTACAGAATAGCGATCTTGGTACTTCCTTAAAAAGCCATGGGTGGCCTCTGACCACAGACCTCTGACTAACTACGGGATGACGAATAGTGAAATTAGCAAAGGGAAAATCAAAGTGAAGTGTTCATTTGTGAAACTAATAAACCATAAGTTAAAAAATATAACAATTTAGAGCTTCTGAGAAGGAGGTCACACATATATACACCAGAAAACTATTAACTAAGAAAAAGCTGGGTTATTAAAAATTTATATCACAGGGTGAGAGAGAGAGAAAACTCAAGGCAAAAACAAACCTGTCCACGCATATTATTCTATATGAAGGAAATATAAAGAAACAAGAATCAAAACTAACTGTTAGATACCAGTAAATAACAAGTTAAAGAGTCGGAACGGTTTTACGGTTGATCATTATACAGAAAATGTTATTACGTATTTGAATTTTCTACCTGCAGTGCATACCAGTCATGTAATTGATGTGTATGGTCTTGTGGATTTTCAAGTCATAAAGTATGCAAAATAGATTAGCTGGCTTTTCTTCTGCTCTAACTGGATATGTTAAGGGTAGAAAAAATTATGTGGGCAAATCGGTGTCAGTACATTAGTGGGCATAACAGGTAAGGCGAAGGTCAGTAGTGTTATTTGGCATAAACAAACAGATCATTAGTGAATTCAAGCAATTAGTGATCCTATTAAGTGTATGCGAACATCTGTATTTTTAATTGTGATTGAGTAATTCGGTATCTAGACCAAGTCGATTCCGAGCATAACTCTATACAAACAACGTAAGTGTTGAGAGACAATGCCATAGGCATTTTATCTCATAAGAGTTATATTATCTCTCTGAGCTTCAGTAAACCATTTAAAATGTGTACAGATAAGTGTAAATAATAAAAATGTATTCAAAACTACCACATATAACTCTGCTGGAAAGAGAGAGATTTATATAATTCAGGGAGTGAGTAAATGATAAACAAGGAACACTGTTGAACGAAGCCGATTATACACTTTGTCCAGGTCTCAGTCTATATATGTTTTTCTCTGCAAATGTAAGATAGATGCATTGTTTATCAATGACTTGTGTACGATTTAGTTGGTTTGTCAATCATAGCTTCGGCAATTATTCGTAGTCTTGTCACATGCATCACAGGTTACGTAGTTCTATAAACGAATCTAGTGCGTCAGTGCCTAAATCCCATGAATCAACCTTTTTTAAACCTTGGAAAACAGGAATCAGTTCAGACTATCAAAATAAAAGAATTTTATAGTCTCGAGATAGATTCAACAGATAAACACATACTTGATTGACTAAACTTCCACGTAAATGTACCGGTACATGATCATTTCGTGTTGAACTAGATGGTACAAGTGATGGTTTCGGATTATGATCAATATCTGGAGAATATAGATAACTTTGTTTTACATCAGTAGAATGATTAGTAATAGCACGTCGAGATCCTGTTAAATCATCACTATTTGAATAAAAATGTATTGGTTTTGTAAAATCATTGATACCACCAGAATTGACTCGATTAATTTCAGTATTATTATTTCCAGATAATTCATTTAAATAATCATCAAATGAATTGGTTGTTATAGAGGAATTATTTTGATTTAATTGTGAATTACAATCTTCTGTATAAAAATTGGCTTGAAGTTCTTGCAGTTCTATAAAAGAAAAAAAAGAATGAAACCAAAATGATACGTAGTTTTATTAGAAACTAAGACTAAATAGTTGTTGATTTTTGTTTTACACTACCTTATTTCATACGTAAACAATCTTATTTAACAGGTACATGATGTTCGAGTATTTAGCTTTAAGCTATACACATGTGAGGAGTAGTGGTACAGTGGTGCATGCTACCTATGTAGAAAAACATAAGTGGTATGTAACAGAAAGGGAAACAGAAAGGAACTGTGAACTGGAAGAGTCATACAGAATGTGAAGGACAAATAATGATAGAAGATTTGAAAATGAAGTATTTATTATTATTTATTTATTTATGGCTTTATTCAATATTATATTTTGGTACAATATAGAATTCTCAGCACAAAAATATTTCAACAAGTTTCTTTTACAGAAATAAAAACGGTTAATAATAAAAAAAAATCTGAAAAAAACTGTACAACTTTTCAATTAGAGTCATGTATGGTTTTCATATTTTATATAGATATTGGTTGTCACCACCTAAGTTCTCGTTTATTACAGTACTAGCTGTTGGCACAAAACAAAGTGAATCAATATTTGAAGTTGGAGTTTAGAGGCTGGAAATTGAACGTCCTAATCACTGGAAAACCAAGTAAAGAATGATAATAAGTGAACTTCAAGAACGCCCCCAAATGTTCTGGTACGGCAGAGAGTGGGGAGAATCAACTCTCCCTATCGAAATGCTCTCACATAGCCACGCGTATACAGCCACTACCAGGGAAATCCTACTCACTGCCTTTTCACGGAATTACTGTTGTTTACGAAATCGAGAGGACGAAAAGCGAATGTCTGACACTTTGACCGGGTTAGTGGATATGGAGGATCCACCTGTGGGGGAGTTAGAAAACCCTGATTTCAAACCAACGTTGCACATTGGTTCCAGGATGCTGAAGGAAAAAAATGGCATATGAACTAACTGTTGATCACCGGATGCCATGGAACTGCATTTCCTGAAGTTGTTTCACTGCCTTGTGGATCAGACCTTTAGGTTATAGGCTCCGGGTGTGGCCCCCTAAGGAAACCACCTAACACAAATCGAATGATTTATGTGGCGCATATGTATTTGGTGCCTCCTTGTGCCAATGTTTATGTGTTTAAATAAATAAATTCCAATTTAGTTCATATCCAGCTAATAGATCTTAAATGATGTTCAGTATCAGTAGGATATAATGAACACGATCTTAAACACGTATGAAACACCAACCCGCCAACCACGTTAAGATTCAGTTGCTATAACAGTTCATCAACGAGTATGAAATTAATGAGAGTCAATAATCTAAAAGTTATTATTTTCAATGCTATATAAGGTTATTTATCTCAGCTACACTATGCAACATATTAGATACTAAGATGACAAAATTATCTAATGTTCCTTAGTTTTCAATGATTGTTTTGTACTGTGTGCTACTTATGTAGACATAAGTTGTATATGATGTCTGGTAGCAAAGAGACAAAAAGATCGAACAGTAAAGAATGAAAACAGAATGCGATTTGAACGAAAATGCAAGAACAATGAAGTCTGAGTCCTTTTGAGACAATTGATGGACATTTTTCAAATTGAGCATTTAATATATGGTTGTTAAATTTTACTACTCAAGTTCTATAATTTGTTGTCAAATACATTTGATTGTCCTCCATTGGTGTTCTTGTTCACTACAGTTTCATTGAAATAATTCATAATAATGAAATAAATAAAAATTACCAAAAAATTAATGAAAATGAAAACATACCTGTACTATTTACAGGTGTTAATTTTAAACCCATTTTTTTATATATATTTAATTGTGCTTGTAATGTACTACGTAATTCTTCATATTGACGTTGACGATGCTCTAATTCTAAACGTTCATTTTCTAATAATTCACGTTCTTTTGCAATTTTATTATGTTCTCTTTCAATATTAGAACGTTGTTTTTGATATTCTTTTTCCCAATCATTTGATTTTTTAGTAAAATTTTCATAATCTTGACGTAATTTTTCTGTTTCTTGTTTTACTGTAGTATTATCTATTAAATAATTATTAAAATGATCTGAATGAATTGTATTATTATGACCAGTATTTAATGAAGTATTACGTATAATTAATTGATTATCACGATTACGAAAATGTTTCCAATTTGATTGTTCAGTTTCTAATTTATTAATAGTAGAACGTAATTCAACATTTTCTGTACGTAATAATTGTATTTGAGGCTTGAAGCAAAAGGAGAAACAAACAAACAAACAAACAGTGAGAACAACAATAAAACTGTACAAAAATGATGTAACTTTGTAATCATATATTATATAACAAGAAAAAAATTCAAATACTGGAACAACGAAACTGAATTTATAAAGGTAATATTAAAAGTATTCATAATTAAATACTTATGCCTTGAACTATCTAACAATGCATGCAGTTTTCATATACAAAGATATCTATAACCTGAAATGTTTGACAAATGCCCCCCCCAAATGCTCTGGTACGGCCGAGAGTGGAGAGAGTTAGCCCTGCCTCTCGAAATGCTCTCACATGACCAAGCGTATATAGCCTCTGTCAGAGAAGTCCTACTCACTCACTGCCTTCACATGGAGGGGATGTTGTTTACGAAATTGAGTGGACGAAAAGCGAATGTCCGGCGCTTTAACCGGATCCCAAACCAATGGTGCACATGGGCTCCAGTATCCTGCGGGAACAAATGGCGTACGAACCTATTATTGGTCACCGGCTACCATGGGACTGCATCTCCTTACCATGCTCCACTGCCTTGTGGATCAGACCTTTAGGTCGAAGGCCCCAGGTGTGGCTACGTAAGAAAACTACCTGCTTCGATTTGGACACCCAGGCAGTATCACAGCCCTCACACATATTAAATGACATCTGTCTGGCGCATATGTATTTGGTGCTTCCTTGTACCAATATCTGTGTGTTAAAATAAATAAATAATAAATATTTGACAAATAAAATATACCTTTGCTTAAGCACAGTGGGAGGTGCTCACGAGCCCGAATATACAAATTCCTAGAACATCTGCTAATATAACTTGTTCCACAAGAGCAGATATTGTATGAATTTGTATATTCGGGCTCGTGAACATCTCCCAGTGTGGTTAAGCAAAGGTGTAGTCAAAACGGTTAACAGCTCCATTATAACCTATTTAATTCAGATAGCACATACAGCCAACATGGAGCAATCTTTCGCAATAATATATAGTGTTAACAGCAGTCTACGTATTTCCATCAGACTGAGAATTTTGAAGTCGGCTGAAGTAATTGCTATTCAGATCAAAAAGCCAGAGTTTTGCATAAAGAAGAAATAAAACATTAGAGTAATGATTGTAAAATTGAAATGATAAATGAGTCTTTAGAAGGAAATTTAAGCACAAAGATTGGTAATAGGTTAACTTATTGGTTAGTTAAGTTGTCGCTTTAATAACAGTATGTTGTGTCAGATTAGCTTGCAACCGATTCTCATGGGTCAATCAGTACAGAGTCATCCAAGTTACCGTGAGATCTCTGGCTTTGAATATAATCATGGCTGAAATTGCCAGCAACGTTCCCAATGTTTAATAAGTGTGCTATATTCAGTATTTTTGACTATTTTCTGTTCAGTTGCTAGATAAGTGCGAAATACTAAAAGTGTTAATTTCATTCGAGATTTTATTTTAAGAGTCTAAAAATATTTACAACTGCCTGCTATGAATACCTCTCTGTAGCGCAGCCAAGCAATCCAGACGAAAAACACAAATATATTAAAAACTATGGCTTGAAATGAAATCTCCGATGAAAAGCACACTCAAATATGTAGTAAATAGCCAAAAACAGAACGGAAAAATAACCGGAAGTGTTGAACTCAGAATACCTGATGAACAATGAAAATATTGGATATGACCATAACCTTTGAGTTTTTACTTTTATTTTTTAATTATTAATAATAGTTTTATTCAATAATATATGTATTAGTACAATGCAGAATTCTTGGCATAGTGTTTTTTAACAAGTTTCTCTCAATCTTCTTACATCATAAATAAAACCAATCTTAGCTAGACCATCATTAAAAACCTAAGAATCACTGGCCAGCTGTTCCATCCTAGCATGGGACACCTCAGCAGTGACCATGTGAGAGCCTGCATCCAGGAGTCGAACCTAGGACTTTCAGTATAACCCACGAACGTGAAGACGAAACGATCGTCCAGTGGTTTCAAGTTTTTAATAATGGTTTAACTAACACTAGTTCATGATTTTAAATCTAAGGCATAACTTAATTTGTCGATCAAAATGATCTGATTTCAATAAAATGTCCATTATAGTCAAGGTTTGTGATAGAAATACCTTTACACTGAAAACATAAGTTTGGAATTTGTACAGAGAATTAATATCATTATTACAAAATGGTTGATAAGATAGATAAGATAATGGGTGAGGATATATATAGTGGAAGGGTAGGTGTGAAACAGAAACACTATATATGTTAGTATGGTGGAAATTTGTTATTTTGACGGGAGCTTTTAATGTTGTTGGTTTCTATGATCTAAATGATTTTATTGCAAAGCTTTCATTGTCGTTTAAGATAACATTATCAGAATTTACTTATAAATCATTAGCTTGTTTGAGATCCTAATATTCGTTTTAGTTTTAGTTTAAAGAAAATTGAATGTTTAAAATAGTGTTATTTAAATACTGTAGACCAGTTGATAAAGATAGGTGGGTTTGAACTAAGCAGGCAGGGGAATAAGAGTTGTAGTTTAAATTTGTCAAACGACATTATTAGCTATTGACAAGACCACAACATTGAGGTGCTTATATCCTAAACACGGAAACAAACTTGTGCATTACATGTAGGGTTTAATTAAGAACGAGGTAATCTCGTGTGGTTTTAGAAGTACGGAGACAGTTTCCACTTCTCGATTACACAGGCCGTGAAACGATGTTTCTTCGTGGCGGACCTGAGAAATAAACCGGATTAATAATATTCTAGATTTAGTGACTTCAAGCACTGATGCCACGTTTTGATTTGGCCGCCCCTATCTTTATTCCAACCATCACCGACACTAGTCAGCACTGCTCGTCGTGTTAATCGGTGTTCAAGCATACGCAACACGTGGCCCAACCATCTCAGTCGATGAACTATCACAACCTCATCAACGAATTGACCATCATTCCCTAATACCTTGCGTCTAACCTCACTATTACTAACCCGGTGATCCCAGAAGACGCGAGCAATATTTCTAAGGCATCTGTCATCAAATACTTCTAGCTTACGAGTATCTTTTACTCTTAATGGCCATGTTCCGCAGCCGTAAAGTAGAACAGAACGAACTGTTGCGCAGTATACTCGTCCCCTAATCGATAGACGGATATCTCGCCTTCGCCATAGATGACATAAGTTGGCAAAAGCTAAACGAGCTTTTCGAATCCGTGCTGAGATTTCGTCAGACACCAACCCATTAAGGTTGATCAGATTTCCAAGATAAGTGAAGTTGTCAACGCATTCGACTACTTCACTCCCTATCCTTAGTTCAGATGTTGACGCAGGCCATTCCTGAAGCATATGGTTGCAAAGTATTTCTACAATCTGATTCGTAATCATTAAAACTAACTCCTAACCCAAATTTCTAAGCCTAAATCTTAATTCTTAATTTTATATCTTAACCATAAACCCTTTTTAAGGTTTTACATAATACATTCTCATTGGTTAAAAAGTGGCTTCACCTATTCAGAGTCATTTTAGGCGTCACTGTATGTTTAGTTGTTATACAGAAACTTGCTATTCATTGATTAGTACAAAAATTTGTATATCGTTAATACTTACAAAAAAAGCAGAACCACACTTACAAAGAGGGCACCAGCTATGTGATTTAATGCCCCAAGTAATATTAATGACTCGGAAGATGGTTGATCTGAAGCAATCAATGAATTCGATGCATCAGTTAAACTGTCAGGATTGAGAGATAATTGACTGGATGGTGAAAGTTGTTCATTAACACTTACTCCTGCTCCGCTTCCCCCGGTGAGATTTAAACTAGCTAAAACTGTAGGTGGTGGACGTGGAGGTAGAGGAGGACCTGATGATTGTTGTTGAGTACGTGAGGAAGAAGGTAAAGGTTGACGTTGTTTAATAGATCTATATGCTCCAGTTGTATTGATACCACAGCCATTTGTACCATGATCTGTAGATGATTGATTGTTCAAAGTAAAATTTTTATCCCGACTAGGTGCACGGAATATACTAGCCATAGTAGCACTAAGTCGATGAACATCTCTCTAAAACAGAGAAATCATAGAATAAAATGTTAGGAACTAATAAGAATCAAGAAAAGGACTTCAAGGTCACAGAGTGAATGTCAAGTTACAATGTTGCCTATCGAATGTGTTACAATTAGCTTTGATGAGGAAAATATCATTAGGTACTTACAAGACTTTAGATTACTTTACGAAAAAAAACCAAACAAGATTAAATAATTGCGAATGAGCATTTTTTTGAAATATAAGAGAATTAAGTTTAGGGTTATGAGTATGGTTTATGGCCTATATATAAACTAACTTGAAACTCAGAGTTCATATTCAATTTCGAAAATTACATTAATCATGTAAAAACAGTGACTTTTTCAATTATGTATTACAGTAAGTTTGTTATCTCCAGTGAACTAATATCATGTTACATGTTCTTATTAAAAAGGCTGCAATGTTAACGATGAAGTGTAATTGGACTACATGAAATCAAAATAAATATGTTCAGTTCTCTTTTATGTGGTCTCCAAATGCAGCCGAAAGTGAGGAGAGGACACTCACCCTCTTAAAATGCTCTCACATGGCCAAGCGTATATAGCCTCTGTCAGGAAAGTCCAACTCACTGCCTTCTCGTCGCATTAATGTTGTTTGCGAAATTGAGAGGATGAAAAGCCAATTTCCAGCTCTTTAACCGGGTTGATGGACATAGGGAGTCCACGTAGGGGAGTGGAGTTGGAAAACCCTGATTCCAAACCAACGTTGCACATGGGCTCCAGGATGCTGGAGAAACAAATGGCGTATGAACCAATCGTTGGACGCCGGCTATCATAGGACTGCATCTCCTTACCATGCTCCACTGCCTCGTGGATTAGACCTTTAGGTCAAAGGCTCCGGGTGTGGCCTCCTAGGAAAACCACCTGTTTCGGTTTGGGCACCCGAGCAGTATCATAGCGCTCACACAAATCGAATGAGATTTGTGTGGCGCATATGTATTTGGTGTCTCCTTATACGAATATCTATGTGTTCAAATAATAATAATAATAATAATAATAATAATAATAATAATAATAATAATAGTTCCCTTTTATTATCTTGAATAGAATAAGAACAAAGAATTGAGTGAAATAACATGAATTCACTTTATTTCGTAAGGTACTTATAAGCTACTTACAACCTATACTATTTAAATATAGTGAAGTTTACATAATGATTACAGTGAAAATGTATATGTATCATCATGAAGGAGTAATGAGAGTGAAGATATATAAATTATAGTAAAAGAAGCTTCTAGATCATCAGATCAAAGCAATGAATTAATTGATTATGTAATAGAATTAAATGAATATAAATTAATAACAATTAAGAATAACATGAGTTGAGATCAGTCAGTTAAAAAAAACAAACAATAAGCTTATGAGTTTAAAAGAAGAGATACTATTCATAAATATTGTAAGACCAATGTAAGAAACTGATAATAAAGTCACTATGGTAAGAAAATAGTTACAATTATTTTCTTTGGGATACATAAATCCGGTTTGAGTTGTCTGATAGCTTCATTGAATTTGACTGTCTATTGATAATTGCTGAAAAATTTGTCTATCAATTTGATGTGTCACATAGATATTATACAGTAGCATTGTTAAAACCTTAAGTCCCATCGATCTGAAACTTTTTGGGATATATTCTTAGAATTGAACGTAGGCCTTTCTTACTGTTCTACCAATAAAACTGCTTTGGTAGGTACACGTCAATTTCTATAGGCAATTGATGGTAACATAAAAAGGGTAGCAATCTGTGATTGGAGTAAAGAACATATTGTTTTATACTGGATAAGTCCTGATCAGTGTGGTTTTTAATTTTCTGTTGATTATCACTGTAACATCGACTCTTTTAAATTCAAGTTGGATAAAAATATGTTTTTTGTCTGCCGTGGTTTCTTTAGGTATTTCGCCTTAACTTTCCCTATATTTTCAACAAATTTCTTTGGATACCTATCGTTTCTAAGCCATTCTTTTACGTTTATTGATTCTGCTTCTAATGTATCAGTAAAACGTATCTTTTCCATTCTGTAGAACAGTGTTTTGATAAGTGATTTTTGTAAGTAATCGGACAAAAGCTAGTAAACTTCAAACAAAAACCATTCCACGTATCCTTTCGGTAAAGAGAACGTTCAATTGTACTATCCACTTTGCATCGTATGGTAATGTTGAGGAAGTGGAATTTGCCATTCATGAGTAAAGATCGGATTGTCAAAAAAGACTATTTTGTCAGTGATTAATTCAAAAAACCACAAAGTTGAACGCTTAGCCATCTACGCAATAAAAGACTTTCCAATTTGCTGACAAGTTCAACCACACAAACACATCATGATATAGAGTATTCAATAAATTCATAGAGCGACACAATGGAGTCATTATATAATGAATAAATGTTATTAGGCTGCTTACAGAATAAACTAATATGACTGAATGAATATTGATTATGACAGCAAAATTGGTGAATAATTCCACAATTAAGGGGTAACAGTCGTAAAATTACGATATGACAACGGTTGAAACCCAACTAGCTCAACAGTGATGTTTCACATTGAGAAGATAGACAGTCCAGGTTCGAATCCACAAATCCCCTCAGAATTATAAGAAATACTATGGTGATATGTGATAACTAATGCGACAACTGGGTCGAGTACTGTTTGGAGTTCACTACCACCACCAACCCACCTCTAACGAAACAGATAAATGTTATGTTATGAAAACAGTAAAACAAGTGTAGCAGAGATATCACAAAACGTCCTATTAATACAAACTAAATAACAACATACCTTCTTTGATTTCATACGACCAACATCGATTGACGATCGTAATTCATTAGCCACTAAAATGTAAAAGGATTATGATGAGCGTAAAGAGATAGATGCGTCGTTAGTTTGAACTTTGTGCGAAAAATAAGATAAAGATAAGATAAATTCAAAACTTTAGGAACATCGAGAAATATTCGACTTATTACCACATCATAAGGAAAAGAGATCAATCAATCAATCAATCACAGGTCGACCAAAACTGACAATCAACATTAACAAAACCAATAGCAAACAGGACTACAAGAAAAATTGATAAAAACCTATATTAAAGAACTAATAGACTCAATTTCACAAGAAGTCCTGATAATGTTCAGCATGACAACAAAAGCTTAGTAACTAAATTGTCTAGTTCAGAGCAGAGAATCTAATGAAAACAATAACTGTAAAATCAACTAAGGAAGTTTGAGGTACACACATTCCATATATATATAGCCTCTCTGGGGCTATTGCTGGCACCAAGCGCGGATAAAGGGGGAAGGTTGGTCATGGGGTAAGAAACCCCATCACGTAGAAAACTGACTCGCTAAAAAACGCTAACCATAAAAAAGTAATTCAAACCAATAAATATATATATATATCCTTTACACGAAGTGCAAAAAGGTTTACGACTAATCACTCTGAACATCAAGTGGACTTCAGTGCAAAATTTAGACGAAACATTTCACAGACGCATACTTTTTAGCAGAAGTACGATAAACTTTAATTACTTCGAATGCTTAGAGCTCTTCAAATTAGATAACGTTGAGAAGACCTAAGGTTGTCTAGATTTTATTCATAGTATTATGAGCGAACAGATAGTAAATGTCATGAGAAATGGCTACTGAATCACACTGCCATTTTGTTGAACAAGATTTATGTAGTAATTAGTCTTTAGAAAAATGGGTGAAAGTTCATAGTAGGGTCACCCTTAAGCGATTCTCAGATGACAATGTAATCCTGAAGCCACTTCTAATTTCATAGTCCAATTATCTGTGTAAATCAAAAGTATTTTGCAGATAGGAATAATCAAGCTTGATAGAGTTCAGCGTTTATCCATCCCTTAATACCCGTTTTCTGATCTCAATTTCGTAGAAACACAAACACATGACTACATTTATCTGATTGTTAAATTATCCATGTAAGAAGTTTGTTTTATTGAATCTTTCGCACAATCACAAACAGTTCAATGCAAACCTCATCATCAACTGCAAGATCTTCATCAATAAATAATTCATTGAAGAGTTACCGATATGAAATTATTTGAAGAACAGTTGTTGTTGTTGCTGTTACCGTGTCGATATGAACAAGTCATTATCGAATTTAGCATTCTTACTTCATCGGTTCGCATCTTTTATTCAATGTGAGCTTAATAAAATAGTTTATCTTCGCGTGTCTATTAAGAACAAAGTATGTTACAATAAAAACTGATTGATTTGTGTGTTACATAAAACGTGTACATTGTGGAGTGAGTATTTGATACATCTAACATTGTCCGTTTTACTGTGTGGTGACAAAGCGAATTCTTTCAAACAATTTTAAGCATTCTTAACATGATACATAGTGGATTTCTATCGTTTATTGTGATGATAAAGATAATCATGATCCACTATTGAATTGCTCCACAAAAACTCAAAAAACAGCTGATTCAATTCTGTTGGTCTCATCCCTATCTTGTACTGTAACCAATTATTTTGTTTTATAATTTTAGATTAGTTAAGATTGTATGCATAAAGGTTTATCACTTTCTTTTCTACTAAATATTTATAATAATTCTTTAAAAGTATATGTGTAGGTATTGTGTCCTTCTGAAGTTCGTAACTTTCAACTTCTTAAATGGAATCGTGTGTGTGTGTGTTGTCAGCGCAAAAAATCCATTTATATTATCACATTAATTCGTTTGATCATATTATCACATAAAATTAACTAGATCCATAACAATAACAATAATTTGATAAAAGCAAAAGGTAGTTGTAACAAGAACTGTTTAAATTATTGTTATCTACAAACATAGCTTTAAAATGTGAATCAATTAAATGATTAGTGTGTAATCCAGAGCGACAAAAACATAAAGAACAATAGCCTTTTGCAGAGAAAAAAATGATTTATTCTATGGTTAAATTGAAATCAATAGGGGTTAAAGATGTGAACTGAAATAAGCTACGTATATATATATATATATATATATATATATATATATATATATATATATATATATATATATATATATATAATTTACAGTTAATGTTTGACGGTACAACAACATCTTTCAAACAAGCTAGGAAAGTCTTTGCTAACATTCTTCCATACACACGTACATCAAATACTTTGCTTAGAATAATGAATAATCGGATGAATATCTATAGGCTAACATCAATGTTTTGTGAAAACCAAAGTGAATCAATCTCTTTTAACATCAATATTTGTAATTAATTAATTAATTAACCGTTTGTTTATGTAATAGTATTCTTAGGATAAAAAAAAACATTCTGATACTTTCTGTTTTTTTCTTCTATTTCACCTTTTCTTTCCTCCATACTCTTTAATATAATCTGTCAGATTATAATGAAGAATTAAAATCAAACCAGATGAAAAAACAGGTTTAACTGATTCCTACATCAATAATTATTCTTCTAAATAGATAGTGTTGCTATGGTAATCGATTAATGATTTTGCATACAAATCAACATAAAAAAATACAAATTTCTTGATAACGATGATAATAATAATAATAAATGTTTAGCACATTCCTTTGTTAGAATTCTATTACATAATTGACCTGTATTATGTTGAGAACTTAAGTTTATATTAGTCAATTATGATTAGTACATCCAATAAAGTTTTCTCCCAATTATCAGTGTGGAAAAAGTGTAAAAGGGTGATTTTATGTAATAAAAAAACACAACAACACCCTGTTAGAATAAAAGATGATAGTTTTTGTTTAGAATTTGGAAAACTACAGTAATCCATAAGGAGTAATGAACTAGCTAATATGGTAAAACTTGTATTTAAGGATATATATATATATATATATATATATATATATATATATATATAAAAGTAATAATGACTACAGGATTTCTACAAAATATACAACATTAAAAGACACAGTGGATGAGACTATAATTTATGGACGATAATTGAGTGACGCTAAAAAGATCTTGATAATATCCACGAACATACTACGGCCAAATCAGGGTAATAAACCAATGTGAGGAATTAAGATTAATATTTACAGTTGATAATTAGAGTCAGGCATTAGATTTAAGGGTTTTCATCAAGAACTGACATCAGATATAATGCTAAAACTCTATTTAATTATATGGATGAATTAATTTTGCGCCGATATTCAAGAACTGTTATCATAAGTCTGATTGGTTCTTCCATAAATAATAGTCTCACCGACACAGTGTTAGGAGATAAACATAAGTCAAGAAGAATGGATGTAAAACCAAAGATAACTGGAATATTTCCTTTAGTCAGAAGTAGAATATTTATGATGGAATCTATCAAATCATTTATTTCAATGGTAAGAAATATAACTATTCAATACACTCGACAACTATAAATGATCAATTTTTTTCGAGGCACAGAAGGTGAGTTTTGAGTTTCAGTCCACCCACTTCAATATGAGTAGCGTCCCTAGCCCTGACACAGTCTTCAAGCCAAGTAGACAAACCTGTACTTGGTAAACAAGTTACGCCAAGGAATATATATGTATACATGCAGTGACTTGGATAGGTATTTACAAGTAAATTGTCTGAAGAAAAAAAAAATTCTCCATTAGTCCATTTCGTAATAAAGATATCAGGTATTTGATAACATAAATAGATTACCAATATGGTTTCTTATTTTTGTATTAATTACTAATTTAACATATTGTCTTTTAATCTATTAGATCATATTTCCAATAGCTTTCTCTTTATAGGACAAAACCTTAGTGCGTATGGGATAATGAAAGATACCGATAATCACCATATCTTTTTACCAATAAACTTAATATTATATCAGGAATATTTTTTGTGTAAAACTCAATTGGCGAAGTATCCTATTTCTAAATTTATTTGATATATGGAAAATTAAGTGAATTATACCTTCATCATTCGAATTTGTTTTAAAAGAGAGTTTTCTCTCCATTGAATTAACTCTAAAATGAAAGATTTGAATTTATTTCAGGATCATATAAATAGGAGATTAGAGAGGTTGGACTATTTCTCTATTTGTTAGAAAAAAAATTGATCCAACAATACAGATTCATGCAACACTTAACTTATTCTTTTTTGGAAAGTTTACTACTCCTATATCATTTAGTGTCTTCATTTCCATGGCATATCTATTATGTTAAAATTGAAAAAAATTGTTTATGAATGATGGAACAACCAAGTGCATAATGCTTAGGTTAAGCAGTGGCTATTAAGTAAAAGCGGAAAGTTGGTTTATGAGATTGTGAATTTTGATTGACTGAAACAGTTAGGACATGTGTCACATATGTCCAATCATCGTCTACATAGGAACACAATGTTGGCTGATGTAGGAGTAGGTTAAGAAAAAAAAGGTAAGCACCGCAAAATCAAAACGCGGAATCAGTTCATGAAGCTGTTGACTAGAAGTCTGAAAAGTGTTAATAGATTAAGAATATCTGGTTGGAATCCTTATAATAATGTTAGGAAGTTAGGGGAGAAAACTAAGAATTACTGTAAAGTTATTGGTTCTTTATATTTGCATAGACATATAATTTAAATACTATTTGATACACTTCACTCTTATACTTCATTTCTTCTATTGTAACCATATTTTATTCGTTTTTTTCCACAATCATTAATACTACTATTATTTCGTACTCTTTGCCTTTAAGGAATTCTTGCTGATTTTCTCAATCGTTATATTTATATGATGTTACAATTATGTGTGGTGGAGTTAATAATACATTTATTAATTATATCAAACTTTATACGTAACATAGCGTTACTTCACTGGATAGGAGTTTAAAGCATACATAATAAAATTATGGTTAATATGATGTGTACCTATATTATTGATTAGATTCATTACTTATTAGTGTTATCTATTTAAAAGTGCAGATATATAAAATTGTAATGTTGATTACAGATAGTTAGTCTAAACAATTGAATATAAAGTATAAACTTCAGTACTGTATAGCAACATAACAAACAAAACAGTTAGATTTAGTGATAAATATATATATATACTAAATAAGTTAATATATTACGTTCAACAATTCGCTTACTTTCTTCAACAAGTTTATCTAATTCATCTAAAATAATCATTATCATAGGGAAAATGTTCATCAAAAGAGTCAGTAAACAGTATGATATATATATATATATATCAGTATGGGAATTTGTGGAGATCATAGTATTTCTAGACCACTATACTAGGACTAAACGGCCATCCAGTGTTTCCAGGTTTTCAATGGTGCTCTAGGTCAAATCAACTTGTGAATATATGTATATTATGATATTTGTAGAATCTGAATAAATCGAGATTTTAACGTTTTATGACTTGGGGTAAGTCACTTCTACACAGAATAAATTTAATATTCCTTGAAGAAGTAACTTAATCTGAGAGTCACGAAGTCAAAAATTCAATATTCTGATACTTAACATTCTACAAATAGATCATCATCATCGTGATCTATTACATCCTTAATGAATTTGAAATTACAAAGTAAAAACCTTAGTAATGAATATATATATAGTTGAATAATATATACATTAATTGTTGTAGCATTCCTTTATAAAAATGCAAGCAAAACTGGCTGACCACCAAAAGAGCAACCGTCAAAAGGTGTATATTAACAAATACGAACATTGAATGAAAGAATAAAATGTTCAAGGTTTTGAAATTTACTCAGTTTATTGTCTGTATATTTACCTCTACGACTAATAAACGTTCATTGAAGAGAGTCTTACTTCAGTGCTGTTCAGGCTTTCCATTTTTTTTCAAAATAATTTTATTAATAATGCTTTTATCCTCTGATTATTATGAAATCGATCTCATTGTAGTAGATTCATGTAGATAACATAGCTCTATTTGCTGAAGATGTAGTGGACAGAATTATGTTGGTAAATAAGTAAAAATCCACGTGATTGTCGTAACCAGTGGTCGAAAAAATTGTGCGAAATAATTAAGAATCTAACAGAAAAAAATACTTTAATTTTTAATCATTCATTGTTCACAAACTACACTAACTATATTTAAGATTTGCCATTACTACTGATTACTACTATCAAATTTCCTTTGAAAATTCCGACTTGTTGTGTTTATATGGCACTGCAATGTGATGGTATGTACGTATGTGTCAGGTCCTATGTTGCTTATATAATTGATTTGCTTACCAAAAAACAGTTGAGTGAAATCGTAACCTTACTGAAACTAAGAAATTTCTTACTGTTGAATTCCTATTCAGATTAGATCACTTACTGATAGATCAGTCATTCATAAATAAATAAATTAAAAAGAACCTATGAGTTGAATTCTAAAACAATAGTAAAATATACCCGAATTATTAGTAAGTTTCCAACCATAAAAGTGAACAATGTCCGAGTACTTTTTAGTTTTCTGAAGGGTCTTTCTTCAATTGATAACAACACATGAAAATCATCATCATAGTAATATTCATCGAACGTCCAAGAATTTTCACCTTTTGTTTATTTTTGTGAATTATTCTCTTTTAAAGGGTAGAGTTCGTAGAAAGTATTCATTTCGATGGATAATGATTTCATGCCTTTCTAAAGAATCTCATTCACTTAAACTGATTGCAGATAGAGAAAATTAACCAGCACTGTGGTAATAATGTCTATGAAAAATGATTTTAGGACGTAAGATGAATTAATGAGCAGTAAAAAGATATAGAATATATTTGTAATATAAAAACCACTAAGATGTATAGTACGAAGAGTTTTAAAAGAGTTAAAATAAAAATCGGAGACGTTTTCAAAGTTGGCTTTGTTAATTTATTGATTTTGAAGTCTTGTCTGAAAACGTTTGCGTGAGGAAAGCATGTATTTGGATTGTTATGATTAACGCAAAAAAATATATTACTAAACCGTTTTACAAAAGATTGATATTGACAAGCTAAGGACAATCATATTAGAAACGATGTTCATAGATAACATCCAACTTTAATTTATTGGTCCTAATGTTTAGGTGTTTATCACCAGAACTGAAGTTTGTGGATTGAATCCCAGGTAGGGTCATGAAGACTCAGTGCTGAAAAGTTCAATACTGGGACATAAACAGCTGTTTCATACTCCTTAGTTTTCCATGGTACCTTAAGTGAAATCAATCTGTAACGAGTACTATCTACAATCGAAATAAATCTTTACAAAACATTTTAAGGCGCCACATAACTACCGAAAACATTTGTAGCCGAATTAAAGTCAATAGGTCTTTCTAGTTTATCGACAGTAATTGCTCTATAAATGGAGAATAAAATATATTAAATTAATTCCAATCTTTCATTAATCTATTTTTGCGACGAAGATTTAAAGTGGCAGTCTTTAATACGATGTGAAAAAAATGCCAGGGAATACTCTGGAAATTGGATAAACAACCATTGGTCAGTCTCCTTATTATATAAAATCTCATTAGTATCTGTAATTTACTGACCGATGGATAAATACGTCATCAGTTACCGCCTTTTTAATTTTTAAAGGTAAATACAGCTTATTTCTTGTATAATATATTCTGTGACCATAGGAAAAGAGATCTTTAATCCATAAACCTATTTTCGGAAATTATAGACTTCGTTCGAATTTGAAAGAATGAATTGAAAGCGATTCGTAAATTTCTCATTCGTCTATGGAAACAACAAATTACTTAAATCAAGAACTATGTTAAACAATAGTTACCAACAATATAAAAAATACGGCAAATATAATAGGAAAACGTTAGTAGTGAAACAACACCGTGGAGGAACTTTATAACAATGAATCAACCAATCAAAGACACGGTGAATATAAGTAAACTAGATAAACGAGGATGTTGGTCTTAGTAAACAGAACAGATTTTATTGATAGAATGAATTTGGTAAACAATGGTCCACTGATGGAATTCTAAAAACACAGCTACGACAACCAAGATAAACAAAATAGAGAGGCAAAGAAAAAATAAACCGACGGAGGAATAAAATGAAAACGGAATAATTCATTGGGAATAATATTAATCAAACACAACCCATAGTGATCTAATCCCATTTCAGTTAACATAAAATCAATAAAACTTTATTTGATCCCATTTTATAAGTAATCGCCATGTGACAAATAGATCAAATGTATTTTATAGGAATTTCACAGATTCCATCACATCTTTCCGACTAAATTCAAACTTATTACTGAGGGATTAACGGTAACAACCATCATATTCTATAAGAGAGAATTTGGTAACCTTTTTTTAATGCCTAGTTTTACTACTAGTATATTATGTGATTATGACAATTTGAGAAACTTTGGTCTTTGTATTTGATTAAGTTTATTTAATCTTTCCTTCATCATTTTGGTTTCTTTCGACAAAAGTGAGATAAGTCATCTCAGGATTGAATAAATGTAACAGCATGTGTTACATGAATCAAATCAATCAAGGAATAAATAAAACAAAATAAACGACAGCATAAACCTACCAGGTACACTATCATGTGCACTAAATGTTTCGTGTTTTTTAACTAAATTTGTTTGAGGGCGTTTGCTACCATCTACATCTGAGGCACTTCTGGATAAATTGGAAGACGGTCCGCTGAGGAGAGCGAAAGACAAACGATAAACTGAAAGATTTCAAAAAAAAAGATAATAAACAAGTAGCAGCAAAAAGTATATGAACTTCAACGAAACGGACGCTTAAAACAAATTCTATGGTGAAGTTACAAAAAACCGTTTACATAGACAATACAAGTAACGTTATGCTTTAATTTTACAGGCCGAAGAGAATCCACAGAATTTTCAATGTTCAATAATTGAGTACTTTAGGTCATTTAACTGTATGAGTGGTAGTTATTAGAGAGTTCATACGTTTCACTGCGTTTTTTGTCCTTTCTATCCAACTTACTGGGCTTAGCTGAACAGATATAGTCATATTAAATAGTTTGATATAACTCCAGACGCTTGAAATAGAATCCTTAGCGAAAATTACGATCTGATATGCAGAACGCAGCTATTAAATAAACGTAGAAATGGCTCAAACTTCTATGTTTGAGGCAATTCCGAGTTCACATTTCTCGGCTCTGCTAAAGCCAAAACGCGATCAGCCTTCGCTGGTCTGCAGTTCCCAGTTGGTTGTGTTCATCGCCTCCTTCGCATGGGTAACTACACAGAACAGGTCGGAGCTAATGCCCCTGTTTATTTGGAAACTGTCCTCGAGTACCTGGCGGTCGAAGTTCTTGAGTTGGTTGGCAATGCCATTCATGACAACAAGAAGACCTCGTATTTTCTGGGTGCTTGTAGAATACATTCGCTACACTTCATCAAGACTTCTTGATCTAGCTAGCAGGGCCGTAGAATAGCCTATCACATCACTATATCTTTGACCTTCGTTTCGTTTACCGAGTAAGGTGAACTCGTAATAGCATTCAAGCATATCAGAAACTACTAGATGTAATACAATTCTTGAAATATAAATATTAAGAATAACTTCTGCTGTCCTTACAGGTTAAAGAATTCTTTACAACTACCCCCCCCTATACTAGGTTATCTTTACTTATTTACCATAAAATTCACCTACATATTATGTTTTCAACCCTAAAAAACTAAATGAAAGATTATAACTACATTATTGTTAATTAAATCAAAACAAATTATTCGGAAAAAAGTTTCAAAATATGATTTAAGTAGATTAAATTAAGTATACACAGTTAGTTTAAACTTTGTATAAAAGATATTCAAAAATATTATTTGTGAAAACGGTCAATTTTTAGGTTAGAAACTAGCATCAACTAGACAATTGGTGAAAACTATGAAACATACATAACAGTTAATTTTTATTACAGTGTGAGAAACTTGTCAATAATATGCATACACTACCTTACTCTAACGATGAACAAACTCAGAATTTTATAAGTGTACGTAAGAAGTTTATTTGTTGAACTCTTACAACAAAGCAGACTAAGAATTAAATAGCATTGAGATCATGAACTGATCAGTGTTAGACCACCATTAAAAACCTGGAAGTCAGTCAGTCAGTCAGTAACAACGTGGAACTTCGTACGTACGTACATCAGTTCGAGTTGCCATACCACCTTAGCACAGAGATTCAGTTATCGATTCAAATCCCATAGTGGTAGAGGTACTGAAAGTATAAGTAGAGATAGGGGACATTAAGGTTTGATGATGTTATTAAAGGAGTATAGTCCAGTGGAATAAATTGGGAAAGAAAGGACATGAAGAATTCAGAAGATTAGAGTTTGAGAGAACACAAAGAGTGGATGCACCTGCGCCATTGCAAACGATTTTGAGCCATGTCATTCAAGGTCTCTAACCATCGGTTGCTATCGTCTCGCGGTCCCCAACCAGGTAGTCTACACCTACCAACATGACTCAGTCCACTTATCAGTGACTTCATGGATTTCTGCCATGTTTTGGTCTGGGCGCCCCTAGCTTTCTCCCAACCTACTCCTACACCATGAAACATAGCACGTCGGGGCAGTCGGTGGTCGGGCATGTGCAACACATGTCCCAGCCATCTCAACTGATTAAGTTTTACTACTTCCTCAATTGATTTGCCATCCTTACCTAGTACCCGTTTCATAACAGCTGCATCTGTTACTCGGTGGTCCCAGGATATACGAGCAATGTTTCGAAGACACCTATGATCAAATACTGGTAACCTACGAATATCCTCTACTCTTACTGGCCATGTTTCACTGCCATAGAGTAGGACGGAACGAACTGCTGCGCAGTAAACACGTCCTTTGGTTGATAGACGAATATCTCGCCTAAGCCACAAATGACGCAAGTTGGCAAAAGCTAGTCGAGTCTTTTGTATCCGTGCTGAGATTTCGTCACACACCAAACCACAAGGGCTGATGAGACTTCCGAGTTAAGTGAAGCGGTCGACACGCTCAACTACTTCACTCCGTATCACTAGTTCGGGTGTCAACGCAACCCAATTCTGAAGTAACATTTTGAATTTCGAGGGAGAAAATCGCATGCCGAACATGCTTGCATTGTTGCTTAGAGTGGTCAGCAGACTCTGCATTCTGTCAGCGTCTTCACTAAATAGAACTATGTCATCGGCATATTCTAAGTCAAAAAGTGGATCTCCCGGTAGAACTTCAACTCCTGGAAATTTAGATGAGGAAAGTGTCATCTCTAAAAGGACGTCAACGACAAAGTTAAACAAGAATGGAGAGAGTGGACAGCCCTGACGAACACCACTTGAGGTAATCAATTCTGATGACAGTTCACCATAAGCTCTCACTCGACCAGATGTGTTCGAGTAGAGAGTCTTTATAAGGTTGATGTACTTCTTTGGTACTCCTTTCAGTGACAAACACTGCCATAGAACCTCACGATCAACAGAGTCAAATGCCGCCTTAAGGTCGAGAAATACTACCATTGTGGGGCGTCTGAATGTGTGTCTATGTTCTAGGACCTGACGTAATGTGAATATTTGATCAATACAACCACGTCCAGGTCGAAAACCAGACTGGTTTTCTCTAGTCTGCATTTCACGAGCTTTCGTTAGACGTCGAAGTATTATTCAGTCAGTCAGTCAGCTGCAACGTAGGACCAGGCATATATATGCATCGGTCCAAGTTGCCATACCGCATTAGCACAACAAGATGAACACCGGATTCATAGGAGTAGTTAATTCAGTGGTGGTAATATACAGAAGAAAGATTGTGTATAAGGAGATAGTAAAGGAAGAAAGAATTAGTTCCTAGACAGATATGAAGCGATTTTAATCTCTTAATTTAAGGAAGACAGAGAGTGTATACACCGACGCCATTGTGATCGATTCTGAGCCATGTCACCAAGAGTCTCCAACCATTGGTTACGATAGTCACGCGGACCCCAACCAGGCAGTCTGCATCTACCAACATGGCTCAGACCAGAAGTTAGTGACTTCAAGCACTGATGCCACGTTTTGGTTTGGCCGCCCCTAACTTTCTTCCAATTATCCCCTGCACTAGTCAGCATTGCGCGTCGTGGTAATCGGTGTTCAGGCATACGCAACACGTGGCCCAACCATCTCAGTCGATGAAGATTCATAACCTCATCAACTGATTTACCATCATTCCCTAATACCCTGAGTCTAACCTCACTATTACTTACCCGGTGATCCCAGCAGATACCCGCAATATTTCTAAGGCACCTGTGGTCAAATACTAGTAACTTACGAATATCTTCCATGTTTCGCAGCCGTATAGTAGAACGGAACGAACTGCCGCGCAGTATACTCGTCCCTTAATTGATAGACGGATATCTCGCCTTCGCCATAGATGACGTAAGTTGGCAAAGGCCAAGCGAGCTTTTCGAATCCGTGCTGAGATTTCGTCAGACACCAACCCATTAGAGCTGATCAGACTTCCAAGATAAGTGAAGTTGTCAACGCGTTCGACTACTTCACCCCCTATCCTTAGTTCAGGTGTTGATGCAGACCAGTCCTGAAGCAACAACTTGCATTTAGAGGGAGAAAAGCGCATCCCAAACATTTTGGCATTGTTGCTCAGTGCTACCAAAAGACTCTGCATTTCATCAGCGTCTTCACCAAACAGGACTATGTCATCTGCGTATTCTAAGTCAATAAGTGGACCTCCTGGTAGGAGATCAATACCTGAGAATTCAGTCGATGAGAGCGTTATTTCCATCAGTAGATCTATGATAAAGTTAAACAAAAAAGGAGAAAGTGGACAGCCTTGACGGACGCCACTTGAGGTTGCAAAAGCAGATGACAGTTCGCCATAAGCTCTGACTCGACTAGTAGTTTTCGAGTAAAGAGCCTTCACAAGGTTTATGTACTTCTGAGGTACGCCTTTCAATGACAGACACTGCCACAGAACCTCTCGGTCAACAGAGTCAAACGCTGCTTTTAAGTCAAGGAATACCACCATTGTCGGACGCCGATAAGTATGCCTGTGTTCTAGAACCTGACGAATGGTGAATATGTGGTCGATGCAGCCACGACCAGGTCTGAAGCCAGCCTGATTTTCACGTGTTTGCAGTTCACGAGTCTTAGTTAGGCGTCCGAAAATTATCGAAGCTAGTATTTTAGATACTATATTAGTCAAACTAATCCCTCTGTGGTTGTCACAGGATGATTTTGACCCTTTCTTAAATATTGGGACGATAAGTGATTGTGACCAGTTAGATGGAATAACGTCTAACTCCCAGATTTTAGCTAAAATATAAGTCAACCTAATCGCTAAGACTAGACCACCATCCTTAAAGACCTCTGGGGCCAATCCATCTGGACCAGCTGCTCTTCCTCGTTTCAGATTAGCTATAGCCTTTTGAACTTCAGCTAGAGTTGGGGGACCTACTTCAATGTTCCATTCACACTGTCTGGGAATAGAGGGTAGTTGTAGAGTAGCTGAAGGCCAGCTAAACTGCTCCTTAAAGTGTTCCGCCCATCGTTCTAAGCGTCTGGACTGGGAGCAGATGAGAGTGTCGTCTTTTTCCGAAATAGTCTGACTTACATTTGATTTATTAATTCCAGTTTATTTTACTAGTCTGTAGAGTTGTCTTGTGTTCCCTATAGCCGCCGCCTTTTCCATCTCTTTTGCTTTCGTTGCCCACCACTGCTCACGATCGTTCCTTAGACTTTTGCTTAACCTAGATCTGATTTCTTTACGCTCTTCATCGTGTTCAGAACCTGATGGGATGAGTTTACGAGAATCTATCAGTGCAATAGACCTTGAAGAAATCCATTGGTTCTTTGTAACCATTTGGTTTAAATCACTGGTAGATGTCACTGCTGTTTCCACAGCTGCTTGTATAACTTTCCAAGCAACATCTGGGTCAGTCTCGTTTTCAGAACTACCTAAGTGTGACCTCAGTTGTTCCTGGAACCTACTTTTGGCTTTCTCATTACTCAATTCGGTTCTAATGAGTCTTTTTTGTGTGGCTCTTTTGCGTCCAGTGAGGCGCAAGCAGATGCGTGCTCGTACTAGGGCATGATCAGAGTCCAAGCAGGTACCCCAGAATGAGCGACAATCTTCTATTGACCCTCTCCAACGATGACTGATGGCAATATGGTCTATTTGAGTCCATCGTTGGTTTGGTGCAGGGGGTCGCCATGTTAGACGATGTCTCTCCTTATGCTTAAAATTTGTGTTTGCTAAAAATAAACGATTGTCTGAGCACAGTTGCAGCAGACGATCACCATTATCTGTTCGCTGTGCCGGAATACTAAAATACCCACCTAAATGTCTTTCTGTTTTGTTTAAGCTACCTACCTGGGCATTAAAGTCACCTCCTACGAGTACTATGTCTGAACGTTTAGCTTTATGAAGAAGTTCAGACAGCTTTCTGTAAAATTCATCTTTCATTTCATCCGAAATGCAGTCAGTGGGAGCGTAGGCAGAAACGACGAAAAGGCAACGACGTGTGTCCCTATCCTTCCGAGTTCTTACCGAGCCGTTTAGCCGAACAGCGCATAGACGACTGTTAACGGGGATCCACTCTAACAGTGCTTGTTCCGCCCTCATGCTAAGTGCTATGCCTACACCTGCCAGTCCACGAGAACTAGCCATCGGGTCGCCAGATACACGGAGGGTGTATCTCGTTGGCTCTTCGTTTTGCCGAGGTGAGGTCAAGTGAATGACCACACTAGGATCCTGTATGCGTGTTTCGGAGACACAGCATACATCAATGGTACGAGATTCTAAGGTTTTAGCCAAGGAAGCCTGCTGACCGATTTGGCATAGTGTGCGTACGTTGAAGGCTCCAATGTATAGTTTGGAGCGAGGTTTCAGTAGACCTGGGACAGTGTTTTGAGCACTAGAATCGTTGGCTGTGGTGACACTTGAGGAGGAAGCTAAAAGAGGAAGTTTAGTGTATAAAGTCGATGTAGGAGGAATAATAGGAATTGAAGAGGGAGGTTGACTATGAATACAGTGGTCTTGAGTGCTGTTAGAGGTATGAGGGCGGTTATCACTTCCCGGTTGCCCACACCGTGGAAGGGTTCTTCTGGAGGTACCTGAAAAGGAAATTGGATTAGAGTTGGTCATAGTGACCTGAGAGCGTGACCGCAACAACGGTCAGGCCGAAGTATTATTGAAGCTAATATTTTAGACACTATATTAGTCGAACTAATTCCTCTGTGATTGTCACAGGAGGACTTTTGTCCTTTCTTATAGACTGGCACAATCAGTGATTGAGACCAGTCAGATGGGATTACGTCCAGTTCCCAGATTCTACCTAAGACCTCAGTCAATCCCGCTGCTAATACTGGACCGCCATCCTTAAAAATCTCAGGGGTAAACCTGTCAGGGCCTGCTGCTCTCCCACGCTTCAGATTTCCTATAGCTTTTTCAACTTCGTAAAGAGTCGGAGGACTTACATCAACTTGACATTCAGGTCGACTGGAGATCGTGGGAAACCGAAGTGTGGCTGAAGGCCAGTTGAACTGATCCCTAAAGTATTCTGCCCATCGATCCAATCTCCTGGATTGAGAATGAATAATATGTCCATCTTTCTCTGCGATTGGTTCGCTAACAGTTGGGTTCCTAATACCGGTTTCCTTAACAAGTCTGAACAGTTGCCTGCTGTTACCTATTGCCGCTGCCTGGAAGTATTGAATAACCGTGTTGTTTTTCGTATAGGACTCCTGGGTAGTGGCTATCCACGAGCTCGTACGCGAATGTTGAACCTGATACCTTCGATTTCGCGTGTAAACACTTAACATCTAAATCAGTGAGCCAGCATCCAACAGCATTAATGTCTAACTTCAATCACTCCATGATATTGAGCAGCCATCCTAAATTGTCTTTGGTGGGTAACTGCCTCATAAACAACAAGATTGAACTTCAATAGTCCCTACTGCTTACTAGAACTCCAGGAATTTCCTATTGAAGATTGTCACGAGTGTGCACATGATATTTGTTAATATAGGGTTGTGGAAATTTTTGAGTTTCATTGAATATATGATAGCAAATTATTGATCGGTTCATGATTTCAATGAAACCTAAAGGATTTCGAACTGTTATAAACAGTAACTTAGTTTTTCTTTTTTTTAGATGTATTTATTTAGTAAATGTTCATTTAAAGAAGAATATTTTCATGTCCATGCATAAAACATAAATCAAAATAAACAACACTTAATTACAATAAACTTACAGTATTCATGAAATAAGTCAAAAAGTTTATCTAAATCATTATATGTATCAAGATTTGAAATAAATGTCTGTAACTTGAGCGTATCCATGGTAGTAATTTGTTGAGCATTATTATTATTATTATTACTATTCGGTGTAATAGGAGGTGATGTTATGTCTACTTTAATACTTGAACGATTTGAATTATTTTGTGTTGATGTAGACATTGATTCTGTTTTAGATGTTAGCATTTCCATTTCAGCTAGACGTTCATTAATTAATACAGATGAAATGAATTCCCAAATTTTCCAGAATGTAAGACGTTTATCATTTAATTGATATAGTAATTCAAGAATACCTTCTGTTCGTTTTTGTTTTTCAGCAATTTCATCACGAGCTTTAGAGAACTCTTCAGCTATAGGTAAGAAAAACAACAACAAATAAACATGATATTCTTCAAAGTTTAATATGTACACGGTCATTTATTATCTTAAAGGTAAGATACCTGTTTCCCAACCAAGAGACAAATATACTGCTCAGTATTTCACTCCGTTCTATTTCAGGGATGTTAAAGATGGCCTTTAAAAATAGACGATATTTGTAGATTGATATTATGTGATCAAACATGCATTCAAAGCATTATTCGTGTATATGAGGACCACAGGATGAGTAATCATACGTTTGGACGCAAAGTACTCGATAAAGATGGGTAATCGGTTGATGTAGTACTGAATCTAAATTGACTGAGGTGGTTGGGATAAGTGTCCAGCCACTGAAATGGTGCTGGTTAGTGCAGATATATGTTGGGAGAAACATATGGTAAGCGGAACAAAACGTTATATCATTCCATGAAGTATCGACTCCTGGACGGTAATATGTAAGTGAGTACAAATTACCTGGCTGAGGTAGACGATAAAACCGCGATCAACGGTTAGATGTTGAGTCAAATGACTAAGAATTGATTGAAATGCCACAGGTGCATTTTTTGTCTTATACTTTCATCAAGAGAAACCCTATAGTAGTGATAGTAACGGTATCAGAGATTTTGTTTCACCTTGATGAATAACTTTTCTCTTGCAATGAACAAACGAAAAAGTGAATCCAACAACAATCTAATTAGATTTATTGTATACACAAAAGGAATTGTAGGATAAAGAATGTAGTACTGAACAGTTACAAAACAAAAAAATCTCGTCTTATCCAATGTCTAAACATTAAAAGAGCTTTAGAAATAAATAGTACAAAACGATTGTAGTATTTAGTCAAAGACATGAATCATGACTTCTTCAATAAATTTTGTTATGATGCAGTTTCAAGCAATCTTCAACAAAACTTACACAAACGAAATAGTAAGGCAAGAGGAACTAGTTATATTATACTTACATAAACTTTCAAAAGTATCCATGTGCTCTCTCCATTGAGCAAAACCATCATTGAAAATAGTTTCCCATCTTGCTAACTCATCTACAGTTGCACAACGGAATAACGTAAGGGCGGTAGCGGAATGCAAAAGAATGTAAAATCCGAAACTGGCTTTCTCCCCTGATTTTCTAAAATATCCATAATGTTTACCCCACCAAAGAATAGGAGGCTTGAAAAGTAAACAAGAAAAAAACGCGTCAATTATGTTGAAAAAACTAGTGAGATGCAAACATCTTGAGATGAGTACAGAAAGATCAAACGATGTTTAATGCCAAATGATAAATTGGAAAGATATTTGTCATATATTGGATTATTCATATAAACACCGATTGCACGGGTCGTCATCTCGATCAATCAAGTCACCTATAAATATATAACAGTTATAGGTTTACTTATTACACCAGTTAGCAAATCAAGTGCCTATATAGACTTATATTCTTTCTCAATATGATAGGAGAGTGGATGGCAGGTGCGTCGGCACGCAAGATCCCCATAGATTCTGGTAACAGGGTATGGTAAGTGAAATAGAGAAAAAAACCAACTAACGTCTATATCATCAGAATATTCTTATTTTGCATCAGTAGTAACAGACGTTCGGGGAAACACCTGGAAATAACCGAAAATGTTATGGTTTCGCTAAATTTTCGATGTATAATCTACAATCCCCAATATGGCTCCGATATTCGTACAGGCATCGTAAGTCGCATACCACAAAACTCTACGATAACACTGAGAAAAATCACTAGTGAATGTCACCGTCTTACTAACTTGAAGTTCAATACAAAAGTAATAGAATGTTTAAGCTCTGAATCGAGAGCTTATATTTTTGTTTCATAGAATAGGTAGGACGTATTCGATAGTTTAGTGCAGTTATAATCGTAAAGCTCCTATGAGTCATCGATAGCGTATGTAGCGCTGAACAGCCCCTACCAGAAATGAATGTATCTACTATTTGTAAAGTAATCGGGTATAAAGCAAGGCTTTGAAGACTTTTCTAATCTTAATATTGAAAACTGACTCCAAAACTGTATGGCCAATATGCAACTAGGATTCATTTGAATACTGAATCTAAAATCAATATGATTTCCTAATTAAAGCTTGGCACAAAAAACCTAGTCAGCACTGTATTTATACTAGAAATGGTTGTGTACATAATGTATCTGGCAGTTAACTTAAAGATAATGAATTAATTGTCTGTAATTCGATGTAATGGCTTATTTATTTAATCTAAGGCATATGCAAGTAAAAAAACAGAAATGAGAAAAAGTCGCTTAATATAACCTGTTACCTTATTCCTTTTTAATCAATAATAATGGTAAATGAATAATGGGTAAGAAAGCAGTTCGGAAATCTGACAGACAGTTTCAAATCTAGAATCATTTAGATCTTGAAGAAGGAAGATCTATCATTATGTACATGAAATTGAGTGACGCAAATTATCAGTTTTGAGCATATGATCTTTAAGGCTGTTATGTTGTGCAGTGTCTAATTTGGATGCTGATATACAAGCTTCCTCTTTACGAAAATGCAGCTGGTTACTCGAGCGAGAAGACAGAGAGTGAGAAGGAAGCTTTATCGACTAAAACCGAATCACATTTATTTTATTTATTTATTTGAACACATAAATATTGGTACAGAGGGGCACCAAATATATATGCGCCACACAAAACAATGATAATTTGAAGAGAAGGAGGAAAGAGAAAAAAAAAGGGTAATGAACGTGGGGAATTATAAAAAAAAAAAGGAGAGAGAGAGAACAATGGTGGGGGAAACGGAAAGGTACAATCAGAAGAGATCTTTCAGTTAAGGAAGATATAAACACTTTTTATGAAGAAAGTAAGAGGTTACAGCACGATCGCCACTGGCTTCTATTCTTAGCCATATCTGATAACGTCTCTAGCCACTGCGTTACACCGTCTCTCGGACCCCAACCAGGGAGTCGTGAAGGACCAACAGAAGCTAGCCCTTTGCAGCTTTCTTTCATACCACGACACCATGTCATATACTGACCACCTCTCCGCTTTTTCCAACCAGTCCCAGAGTCGGCAAATAATGCACGACGTGGAATTCTCTGGGACGACATTCGTAGAACATGTCCAAGCCACCGAAGTCGGTGTTTCAAGATGGTGACACCAATGGAATTATCGTCTCTGTGACCGAACACTCGATGCCGAACCTCTGCATTACTGACATGGTGTTGCCACTGGATGCCAGCAATCCTTCGGAGACAACGATGATCGAACACAGAGAGTCGTCTAACATCCTCAACTCGGAGAGGCCAGGTTTCACAAGCATAGAGCAAAACTGCTCTCACCGTCACGTTGTATATCCGACCTTTTACAGCCAGACTAACATCACGGAGGCGCCAAAGGTGGCCCAGATTGGCATAAGCCGCTCTGGCTTTCACTATACGAGCATTGATCTCATCACTCACACCACCACCAGCACTTATGCAGCTACCTAGATACACGAACTCCTCGACTACTTCAATCTGCTCACCATCCAGAGTGAGTACAGGATTAGAATCCTGCCAGTCTTGTAGAAGTACTTTGCACTTCGAAGGTGCAAAGCACATACCATACCAACGGACATTGATTGCCAACTGATTAAGTGCGGATTGCATAGCTTGGGCATTCTCGCACAGTAAGACAATATCATCCGCATACTCAAGGTCGAGAAGTCTTTCTCCAGGCAACAGATCCACACCACCATTACTTACATCCGTCAGAGCTGTTTCCAGAATGTCATCGATGGCAAAGTTGAAGAGGAATGGTGAGATTGGGCAACCCTGCCTAACACCACTGCTCGAAAGGAACAATTGAGAAAGGTGGTTGTATGCCCTCACTCTGCCTGAGGTGTTTGTGTATAGGGCTTTTAGGATGTTAATAAACTTCTCAGGCACACCCTTCTTTAATAGACAATCCCAGAGAACAGTTCTATCCAACGAATCGAAGGCAGCCCTGATATCAAGAAACACTACGATTGTTGGCCTTTGATAAGTATGGCGGTGTTCTAACACTTGGCGGAGGGTGAAGATATGATCAATACATCCTCGACCAGAACGAAACCCAGCCTGCTCCTCGCGAGTCAATCCTTCTCGGGTCCTGAACAACCTACGAAGTATGATGAAAGCCAATAGCTTGGACGCAATCGGAAGTAGACTTATCCGCCGATAGTTGTTACAGGAACAACGTGAACCCTTTTTAAAGATAGGGACAACTATCGACTCATTCCATGACGTTGGTACACTCTCTAGTTCCCAGATCTTTGTAAACAACGTCGTCAGTCCCTTAGTCAAAAAGTCACCACCATCTTTAAAAAGAGCCGGAGGTAAGTCGTCTGGGCCCGGTGATTTGTAACGTTTCAAGAGTTGGAGTTCCTTGCGGACTTCCGCCTCATTTGGTGGATCAGTCGTAACCGGCCATGGAGGACAGGACAGTCTGACCGATGTTGCCGGAGCAGCAGGCCAGTTGAACTGCCTTTCAAAGAATTCTGCCCATCGTCCAAGACGTCGATGGATGTTAGTGATTGGCGTTCCGTCATCCTCGCAGATTGTTTCGCTCACACCAAACTTCTTGCTGCCAGTGGCTCGGATGTGTTGGAAGAGCTTCCGGTAGTTACCAGATGCAGCTGCTGCTTCCAGCTCATTAGCACGCTCCGACCACCAGGCTTCTCGGTCCTTACGCAAGCTTTGCCCGATTTCATTACGTAACATCCTTCGTCTGTGGTCAAACTCACGGTCACCCGGAGTAGACCGACGGGCTTCAATCAGTTGTAAGGAACCCGAAGAAACCCAGTGCTTGTAAGCGGGACGTTTCGCAAACCCACAACAGACTGTACCCGCCATTTTCATGGCGTCATGCAATTGCGACCAATGCTCATCTATACTTTTCGGTGGAATGGTAGCTAGCCTAGAAGCTAGCTCGGTTCGGTACTTACTAGCAACAGAAGTTGCAGCCAACTTGCTAACATCAATCCTTTGGTGGCGGTCACTTCGTTGTCCACTGAAAAGTAAGGTAAGATTGGCGCAGACCAGAGCATGATCAGATTCCAGATAGGTACTCCAAAAGGAGCGGCAGTCTTGTACACAACCGCGCCAGCGGTAGCTGATCGCGATGTGATCAATCTGAGTCCAGGCTTGAGATGCAGAAGGAGGACGCCAGGTGGCACATCGGCGATGACTGTGCCGAAAGTTAGTGCTAGCCAGAAACAGGTTGTGGTCTGTGCATAGTTGCAGTAGACGTTCCCCGTTATCTGTCCTGCGACCAACGAGTCCCCATCGGCCACCTAAACGACTCTCTTCTGTGCCTAGACGCCCGACCTGAGCATTCAAGTCTCCAGCTAGTACTACAATATCTGTCGAACGCACTTTCTGGAGAAGAACAGTTAGCTGATGGTAGAACTCGTCCTTGATTGCATCCGGGCTGCAATCTGTCGGGGCATAGGCGGAGATGACGAAAAGACATCGTTTCTCACGCCGATTTCTTCTCACTTTGATGGAACTTTCTAATCTAACAGCACATAACCGACTGTTAATGGGGATCCAGTCGACTAGTGCTGCCTCAGCTCTTGCGCTTAGTGCGACACCAACGCCAGCAAGACCAGACGAAGATGCCACAGGGTCCCCGGATAAACGCACATAAAACAAGCTTTTTGAAGTGACAGATGGAGAGCGAACTTGTAGTACTTCACCAGAGTCTTGAATACGGGTCTCGGATAGACAACACACATCAATATTAAGACTTTCCAAAGACATAGCCAGCCCTATCTGTTGTCCGACCTGCATAAGTGTGCGAACGTTGAAGGTAGCCAGTTTGAATGGTGCACGCGGTTCCAGAAAAACTGCTTCAGTACTCATGTTCGGTAGTAACATACATTTTTCAACCAGGCAGTGACTCGGGAACGTTTAGATAAAGCTGAATTTTCACCATAGGTGAGCTGCTGTCTAGGTCGAAACGCATATATAAAGTAGGAATAAGAGAGGGTGAATAAATGACGTGGTAGAGTAATAATAATAATAATAATAATAATAATAATAGTAATAATAATAATAATAACAATAATAATAATAGTACGAGTTATTTCAATGTTAATCAGATAGAAAGGAATATTTTCCATAAGCAAATTGTTCATCATAGTTTTAGTGAGTGGGCTGGGATACTGCCCGGGTGCCCAGACCGAAGCAGGTGGTTTTCTTAGGGGGCCACACCCCGAGCCTTTGACCTAAAGGTCTAGTCCACAAGGCAGTGGAGCATCGTGAGGAGATGCAGTCCCATGGAAGCCGGTGACCAAAAGTTGGTTCATACGCCATTTGTTCCCGCAGGATACTGGAGCCCATGTGCACCATAGAATTGGGATTCGGTTATAGCGCCGGACGTTAGCTTTTCGTCCTCTCATTTCCGTAAACAACACCCCCGCCACGAGAAGGCAGTGAGTAGGACTTCCCTGGCAGAGGCTGTATACGCGTGGCCGTGTGAGAGTATTTCGAGAGGGAGGGCGAACCCTCCCAGCTCTCGGCCATACCAGGGCATTTGGGGGCTTCACAAAATATATGTATATTCACTCATCTATAAAAAACCACACTTTTTAAAGAATGATGTGTGCTTTATTCTTTGAAAAAGGAAACTAAATTATAGCCAGTCTCCTGTACTGATATCGAAGTGAGCTTCAGTGTAAAAAACCCTTATCAAAAAACTTGATAATCATCTCTCGTTTTAATCCTACATATGTTTAATCACGTATACTGTTTTGTGATATTTCGCATAGATGATTCAGAAATTATGATGATTACTGTTCCTTTGTAAACCAGATCATAGTACAAAAGTCAGAATACTTTTGCGAAAAAGAGGTATCATATAAAAGAATCCACGAGATTCCTGTTTGATGAAATCACTAAACCTCTTTCGATATACGTTATTATTGATTGAAGATAACCAAAGAACCAGTTGATAACTGAGTAAATGAAGAATGTGAACGGCTTGAACAGTCATTCATGATGAATGATTAGTCCAAATATCTCGTATTTATTTGATATCGTCGTTCACCCAAAGATAAGCGAAATACGAACAAGAATCACTAATAGGTTAGAATATTATCTCAATATAACTGTACAAGAAGCTACGAGTAGATGACAGAGTTGATTAATCTAAAACATGATACCTCAATGGTTGAAAACAACAGCTGATTTTCAGTTGTAACAGTAAGCTTTGCCGTTGATATGAATTTACGTTGAGAACTATTTTCAAATTAACAGTGTATAAATCGGCTACATATTCAAGTAAATCGTAATAAACGTATGATAAACGATTAGTATCACGAAAAGAAAAAAACAAACAAATTAACTAACCATTTCTGTTCCACGAAATAACTGGTATCGATTTGATTCCGGTATCTTTTGTAGCATAAAGAAGCAACTTTTTAACGCTACACCTTCTACTTCATATGATGTACTCGCTATTACAGGGAAAGACAGAAAATATATTGTAGATGATATGGTATTATATATTAATAATAGATGAAAAAAGTAAGTAGTGGTAAACGACAAAACGTAAAGACAAATGAAGAAAGAAGCCAAAACAAGAACAGATAGAGAATGACAAAAATATAAAAAAAGCGATCCAGATTTGATTGATCACTAAATAGTAGCGATTAATGTCATAATATTTACTTAATTTTCTTTAGTAAATTATGTTCAGGTATTAAATGGTTCGATGTAGCCGGAGTTAAACCCTGGATCTAGGTTGTTCGCTAGTTGATAATTCAGTCATCTAACAACCGAAAAAGTGTTGAAATAAAAAACAGTACGACCAATAAAAAAATTCAATGGAACACATTTGTAGTATTTCATTTTGCAAATAAACAGATCACTATTTTTAAATAGTAAGGATTGATGTCTTAAATTAAAACATAATTGTGAAATACCATAAAGAAAGTTTCACAAGTAACACATTTCTTGTATGGGAGATAAATATCTTTGATATTTAGCCAACTGACTAAATATCGTTAATTATTAACGAGGTTTATTGAACAGGTGATATGTAACGCGCTTTAGGATCCATTACACACATACTTATTCGATGTACACAAAAAGAATTTGCGATATTTTAATCTGTCACATGTCACTACTGTTCGTATATGGCCAATTGTTGAGAGAGATGAAATAAATTAACATGTATATGCGCAATTGAAAGAATTTAACCACGAAGAATTTTAAAAGGAAACATTTAAATTTGTTTAGCCTTAGATTTTATGACATCTTGATGTATTTATTAAAACTTTGAACAAATATAGATTGCAATATTTTCGGAATGCATCGTTGTGACGAGAACTAGAATTTAGGACAATTAGGGACTGATCAGATAGATGTAACTGTCATAACCCAATGTAGATGTTTATTTTGGTATTGAGGCCAAACGGAAATATGTTATCAATTGAGGTACTGAGTCCACATAATCATTAAAATATACACACCTAATCCCATGGATATACATTCCCGGCGGTAAGGTCCCAAACAAGTACGGAGCTGACATGAAAATTACTTACAAAAAGGTCGTGTATGACCGGCCCTCAGGTCACTAAGACTAGCTCCAACCCAATTTCGTTTTCAGGTACCTCTAGAAGATCCTTTCACGGTATGGGCGATTAGGAAGTGAAAACCGCTCTCATATCCCTAACAGCACTCAAGACTGACTGAATTATTAAAGTTATTTAGATCATTATAAGTTTGAATTATATTGCTGTTGATACTCAAGAACTAGCTTATTAAAGTATATTCGGCTAACACAATTATATACACTGTATGCAACAATGATACTACAGAAATCTGAAACTTAATGTTAAATTAATACACTAATATGAAGGTGAGATGTTCAAACTGTGAGTAAAAAAAGAAAGACTTTAAATATGTTTTACAAAAGGAAAGTCATTAAATAGTTGAAAGAAAATAAACAGTTTTCTTTTTCTTTTTCTTTTAGAAAATAAAACCTACTTGGTTATATGAATATAATTTGATGATTTTGTAAAGCCTTACACTATCCTTTGTTTTATCTAAGAATCAAAATAAATGGACATTCCGAAATAGAAATCACAAAAGAGTTGAATAAAGAAATAGAATGACGCGATCATAAATATGGATAAAAACTAGTTCAATGATAACAAAATTGTTACTTTAATGGTTAATAGTGTATCATCCAATAAGAAATTATTATTGTTGGGTGGTAATAACAGAGAAAATATCAATCTTACGAAGTGCAATAATTGAGAAGGTATATCATTCACTCACTCTCTCCCTCAATAAAATTTTTGTGTTAAAGAAATAATTGTGTCGGTTTCCGTTTGATTACAAACGAATATATATATATATATATATATATATATATATATATATATATATATGTATATATATAATAGTGCACATCTTTACAGAGAAAGCAGACTACTTTATAAATAGCATGAAACAACTCATTTATTACATATACGGTAATTAAATGAAACATTCTTTACTAGCTACAATCTTTATTAAATGAAGTAGGCCTTACTGATGAATATCAACTGGCACCATAAAACCTAGGTGGTACAGATTTTCTAGGCGACAATCTCCAGCCCCCTTACATCGTAATAATATTTTTTTAAAAGCATTTTGGGAATTGGGTAAATGATATGGATTGTTATTTTAAAAAATTTCTATTTTTCCAGTGAGTGAAAAAAAGAAAAAATTAGCTATTACTGACATGTTTAAGAATTCTATTTTATTGAAGTAGTTTTAATAATATAGTATATAAGCATGATAATGTCCAATTAAGTGAAAGGCATAATTGAAGAGTGATAGTTATCTAGTGTTTGAGAAAAAAAATTTTATGTTAAATTGAGAACCATTTCTTAAAATCGTTTTACAAACATTTTTTTAAAGTCGATTTCGTTTATTTCTAATATCTATTCAAATACCTTGATACAGTATGAGGTGGGAAGAATCAATTCTTCCTTTCCAAATGTTCTCACTTGGACACGCGTATGCATTCAATGTCAGTGAAGTCCTACGCATTGCCTTCTCGCGGTGAGGTTGTTGTTTACGAGATTGACAGGATGAAAAGCAAATGTAAGGCGCTTTAACCCGGTCGATGGATATAGAAGATCCATTTAGCGGAGTTGAAAACCTTGATTCCCAACAAAAGGTAAATATGGGCGACAGGATCCTGAGGGAACAAATGGCATATGAATTTAATGTTGGTCACCGGCTACCATGGCACTTCATATCATTACGTTGCCCCACTGCCTTGTGGATCATACCTTTAAATCAAAGTCTCTGGGAGTGGCTACGTAGGAAAACCACCTGCTTCGGTTTAGGCCCCTGGGAAGTATTCCAGCCCTTACAAAAATCGAATCATGTGAAAAATATGTATTTGGTGCCTCCTTTTACCAATGTATATGTGTTTAAATAGATAGATAAAGAAAAATCGATGAGAAATGCTTTATCTTGTCAACTTCACATTCCACTTATTGTAAATTTATGAATATTTCGATTTCAGTTTCAATAATCACTGTGAATATTTATTTATTTATTCCACTCATTTACCAGGTTCAGATTAGTGTATTCGGCTTTGAATTATACTCTAATTGTGATGATGACTAGGTTGATTAAACCACCGAATGAGAAATGGGTTTGAGACCTTAGACTTAGTGTTTAAAAGTTTCAACTAATGAATCGTTTCTGAATTCACTTTTAACAACAGTGATAGTAATCAATTCTAAATAGTACAAAAAATATGTAATTGTTCCCTTTATTACCAAAAAATATAACGTACTTAGTGAATTAAGTAACAGATCACGTCGCTAAACATTACATAACATTCATTAACCTTATATTTGATTTGAAATGATCTAAGAAAAGAAGTTGATCGTAATCAAATTCAACTTCAAAGTTATCCATCTGTTATCTCAGAAAGTCAAAATAGCGGAGGACTTTTACAAATATACAGGATTCTAGTTGATTAGTGATTTTAAAAACTTATAAAACCAAAAAACGACATTTTGGCTTAGTATCAAGATCATATTTACGGTTCAAGATTATACTGTATTGGTAACAATGGATGATCACGCTGAACTATTATTTAAATGATCAGTATTTGCAGTCAGTGTTTAACTACTTACAAGTAGTACAATGAATAACGTGTTTTTCAGGTGCAACATACATACGATTACTAAGAATAAATACAAAATGGAATTACATATTTTTAAAAGGTTAAGAGTGCATGGGTGGAAGTGAAAGAAAAGCATTCATTGAATATATTGTAAAATTACATAGAATCAACTTAACATTATTTCATTGGGTTTTATTTAATGTCCTACGATTCATTAAAGAAGCTGACGGTCCATTATATCAGTGATGAAATATGAACGACATCAATACTTGGAAAACTCTTAGGTATGATGGATTATGCAACCGTAAAGTTAGTGTATTTTATTACTGAGTATTGATTAGAAATCTATAAATTTGAAATTCGGGATTCATTTGAAAATCTTGCTGAACCAGAGAAATCATGTACAAACACATACACTGAAGACGCTTTTACACAAAACATCTTTGAATGCAATTCATTGAAATGAAAGCCAATTTAGGACTCTAATAATATGATATACATTAGTTAGATAATAACATTCTGTGCTTCGCAATCTTTGAACACAAGGAACTAGTGGACAGATGGTTTGTTCGAGGATATGACTCAACCTGGTATATTCAAACCTCACAAAAACCTCTTAACTTTAAGAATTAGAACTGAAGTGTGGGAAATGGATATTGTCCAATAGGAATGAAAGGGAAACTGCTAAACATTGCACTTTTGTTGGAACTCTGAAAAAAAGAATGGGTAACCTAACAGATTCGGATCAATTGTTTATCTATGCATAACAACATGATGTGTGTATTCGTTAGTGTATTCAGTTAATTAATTAAATATAAACAAGAACGATTTGTCGAACATATTACGCGTTTTTTATGTTCTAAGTTGCTGTGAATAAAAACTTGCACCTCAGAAAGGGTTTTATCACATTTTTGATTTAGGGGCAATGTAACTGTTGCGTTTAGCTGCCGTTCAAATCTGTTACAGATATATATATATACGCTCCCTATATGCATACCTGAACCAGATACTTGAGTGAGAAAATCAAGAGCATGTAGAAGGCTAGTGATAGTCTCACCAACTCTAATGGATTGGTGTCTGATGAACTTTCGGCATGACTTCAGAAAACACGTCTGCCCACCGAAAGCTAAGTTCACTGCGTAGCAATTCTGAGGTTAGATTCGGAGTACTACGTAAAGATAGTAAAACAATTGACGAGGTAGTGAATCTGTATCGTCTGAGATGGTTAGGACATGTATGCTCCACAACCGACTACCTTGATGCACGATGATGACTAGTGTGGAAATAGGTTGGAACAAAGCAAAGGGGGTGAACCAAAACGTGACACTAGTCTCCATGTCATTGAGTCATATTAACATGTGTAGACTACCTGGTCGAGGTCCACATGATCATCGTAACCAATGGTTAAAGATTTATGGTGAAATGGCTGAAAAACATTTACAATGGTGAATTCATCGTTTTTCTTCTTTTTAAATACATTACAGATGACTTTATTCTTATATCACTAATATAATTTTCCTCCCAAAATTTATGTTCAATCCTTAAACTATTACATTATCGTTATTACAGTTACCAGCTCTACTACTTTAGGATGTGCCAAGTTCTACTTTGAGTATGACTGCTTTACTGACCAGTGGGCGGGGAACAAAGTTGCATAGACTAGTTTTTGTAAAATGGCAAATCATTTATAAGACTCGATTACGATTAAGACGAGCAAAGTGTACATGGTGAGACACCATTCAGTGATCAATGAATACAAATAAAAATATTGATAAAGTGCCCGATCGAAAATAAGGATACAGTTGTACGTTACCAAAAGTATTGATGATCGTCAAATGGAAATCATCTAGAATGCCGGACTATAGAAAACATTGAGGAGAGTTACTATATTTTAAGTACTTAAATTTACATAGCTACTTAACATGAGATAACGTTTAGAGTCAACTACACAGAATATATACTCGAATTACCTATGACGACTTAAGTACCTTTTATTGTAATGATAGTCATAATTTGGTATAAGCTTGGCCTATGTGCATAGGAACTATCAGACTATAAAAGAAGTAATCTAGGTATTTGAAGTGCAGTGGTATCCTGGGTAATTGAATTATAATAACGATAGATGCTTGAGTGTTGAATTCTCTTCTGGACTGAAGATTTAAAATAGAGATAAGCGTGCGGATAGACGAAACAATAAGTTCGTAGATTAAGCTAACATAAGATTAATTATGCAGGCCATAACGTATTACTGTTAAAGGCTGAGATGCTAGTTTATGGTAGGTATAACCGACGCGGGATAGGAAAATTGTAAAAGGATTTAACACGTGATATCGAGTAGTATCTAAATACACAATAAATACCACTACGATTAACACTTAAGAATGTAATATACGAGCTATTTCACTTGTACTGAATCAGTTATGATCAGAAAATCAAGTCACAAAAACACCATACTGAATCATGTAAAAATAAATTAACTAAACGATAATAACACTCACACTGTAGTCCACAACCAGAAACCATTGGATTAGCATATAATCGTCCATGGTTAATTAACTTTGCACTTGGTGAGTTCAATTCATTAAGCAATTGCATTTCATCCGATGAAATATTACTTGATAATGACATCATTGTTGTACCAGTCGTAGAATCGGATACAACTAAGCGCATGGCAAATTCTCTCAATTTCCCAGTATATTCAAATTCTGTTAATATAGTTTCTGAAGATTTTATTATTGATTTGACTGCTTTACGAGAAATTTCTAAATTTGCAACTTCTTTATCATCATCTTGACGAAACAAAAAAACATGAAATGGAACCATGAATACAAAGAATTGAAACTACACAATATGTACTTTGTTATTTATAATTTGAAATGATTTGTCTATTCTTATTATTTATGTTACCAATTGATTAATCATTTTTGAAACATATGCAATTCTGAGTAGTTTGCTTTATTATTATTATTTAGTCATATGTTTTAAGTAAAGTTGGATCAATGGATACCTATTTCATCATATTTGAGATCGATCAGAAAATCATACCTGTCAAATTAATGTTGATACTTAACATGAGGATGAAGATTAAGTACCTTCGACTTCAAACTCGCAATGTTTTAGTCTATTGAGCTAGTAAGTTCAGATAGCAACTTGCTTGTGCGTTGTAATTTATATGCGAGTAAATAACTTCATTACAAAATCCCAATTTCTACTGAGAGATAAGTCAAAGCACTTGAGCTAAATTTTATACAAAAAGAACAAAGAAAATAACGGAGTGAATTCGTCTCATTGTTTCGTGTGATTCGATTTTTTTCACATACACACTGGTTTCACTATTGAAAAATAGTTACACATGCCTTCTATATTTGTACAAGGCGAGAGGATTAATTAACAGAAAGAAAGAAAGACCATGATGTAATCGAATACATAAACTGTTATGACAACGGTAGACAGATTGATCAATGTAATATCAAATACCGAAAAATCAAAAGGCGAAGTTATAACAATAATAATAATGATAATAATTTTAATAATATTAGTTGAAGGGGACACGAGAAAATAGAGGTAGTTTCACTGATAAATTGATAAAGGGTCATTTTAAAACAATGAAGTAATAATAACTACAAATTAGAAGTGACTAACTGACTAGATTGAACAATGGAAATATAATAGTGATGAAACAAAGATAAATCCAAACAGATAAAACAAAACTTACAATATTTTGTTTAGAAAAGAGAGAAAGATTAAAAAAAGAAGGAAGAGAAGGCCAACGATGAATTAGTCACAATGACATTGTCAGTGAACATAAACTAAAATTGAAACAATGGGTCGCGGTTGCTTCTCTGTAGCGTGAAAATCTGTCATTACTCTGTCGATTTATTATCCGAAAAGCAGTAAGAGGATTAAGTGAACAATCCATGTCCAATATATGTCTTCTTATGATATTGTTCAGTAGTTTGGAGCTATTCGAGATCATATTCTTAGGCATGTATTTCAAGATAATTTTATATCATTACTATCTTTGAGTTTTTTTAACGTAAGTATTATGAAGTAGAAACTCGGTAACGATTGAAAAACGACTTCAAAAAATGTAACGTTAATAGATCAAAATAGAGTATTAAGTGGATGATCAGAGTTAAACTTAGGTAACTACTCAATCATTAAGTTAGATCAAAGTATCAAAACTGTTTCGTAGTACACTGAAAATTGGATTTTGCTTACGAAAGATGTTATTCAATATTTATTTTGATGAGAAAAAAATGATAGGTTTAGTTTATGTTAATGATAATTGACATTCATGCACTAGTTATTAAAGATTACAAAATTTCAAGGATATAGTAGCGAAATTCGACTCAAAGCCTCCATGTGGCGCTGCTGGGTAGTAAGGGTAAACTTTTTAACTAACCCGGATGACATATACAAATATTCCATGTAGGAGAGTTGCGAGTTTGTAATTTCCCACCAGTAGTATGTAAATGGGCTTCAGGATCCTGAGAGAACGGACAGAATACAAACCTATTTAAGGTCATCAACCACCATGAGCCAACAGCTTCTGAAGTCGCTGGAATTATTTTAAGATTAAACGTTTGGGTCAAATAGTCATAGAAACGCCCCACTAGAAAACCTCCTGCCTCAATACGGGTGAGCCGACAATATCGCAACCAAAACAAAACATTAATTCAAACAGTACATTCAATTTTCTGTGCCAAGTTGTACCCGAATCCATATGAATTATATAAATAAAAATAGATCAGGACATGGGGAGATATAAGCTACTACAGTCCAATATGAATGAGAACATGACTAGGATACTGACTTACGCACTAATATAGAAGAAAAATAATAAAAACCAGCTCAAGCGTAATAGACTACTAGTCTAAGGGAGCCCAAACACCACACTATAGACCGGTCGATAAATTACAAGAGAGACAAATTTTCGAAAGAAGACGGTCAGACATGAAATAAGGTTTAGGTTTCCAGACATTTGTTTGGATCAATAGAAAAATCATATAAATGCATATATATATATATATATATATATATATATATATATATATATATATAGAGAGAGAGAGAGAGAGAGAGAGAGAGAAAGAGAGTAGTAGTAGTACAGATTATAATAAGTCAACTTGGCAATCCACCATTCCGATCAGTTTTCTCATTTAGATATTGAATTTATTATACCGTAACAGGTATACACCGTAATTAAATCAGATGGTGAAATACAACAAAGATCGATTTCATCGGCATTTAAAAACAAAGTATTATGAATTAAATTAATCAAGAAAAAGTATGTAAGAATATGATGGATATTTGATTGCAGATAGAAATCGGAACATCATCATGATATTGTTCAGAAGAACGATGAAAATCCAACAACCAACAACTATCTAGCTCAAAGAACAAAACTCCAGAAAAATAAAATAATTCAAAAAAAGGGATTGATTTAATTCAATAATTATGAAGCGATATTAAAATACTTACTTAATGTATTTCGTATAATTGATTCAAGTAACGTTTCTACTTTAGTCCAACGTTGTACAATCACCATATAACAATCTTCTAATGATTTACGTGAACTACGAGGATTCTGTATCACTTGCTGTTAATAATAATAATAATAATAATAATAATAATAATAATAATAATAATAATAATAATAAAGTCCGACATCCATTGAGAGACAGAAATGAAAATATTTCAAAACTAAATTTATCTACTACATAACTGTACACCTGAAGCATTAAAACAAACACACATGGGAATACAATTCAAACTTAGATCATGCTAATAATAAATTTGGCTCAGATATGTGATGACACATTTTTCAATAATAATAATAATAAAGTATTTATTCTTAAGAACTATATATAATTTTAATGGTTGAGATCATGAGGCAATTGAAGCTAGACTACCATGGAAAACCAGGAAGCACTGGATGGCCGTTTCGTCCTACTGTGGAACTACTCAGCTTCAAGAGGTGTTACTTGGAGTTCTAGTGAGAAGCCGTGACCAGTGGAGTTCAACTGGTTCTGTCGTGAGATAAGAACTCACTGATGACAATGGTGGACGGTGGCTCGATTTTGCGGATTGCTTGAGGTTAGATATTAATACCACTGGATGTCAGAACAGTGGTCTAGACGTTAAGCGTTCGCACGTGAGACCGATAGAGGTCCTGAGTTAAAATTCCGAGGTTCGGGATTGTGTATGCGCACTGCCGAGCCCCACAGTAGGTCGAAACGGCCGTCCATTGCTTCTATGGTGGTCTAGCTTCAATTGACTTATAATCTCAACTATTAAAAATTACCATAATTTTCACAAAACCCTCTTCTGATATTAACTATATATAAATTGGTAAATACGGATTGAATTCAATTTTCGAAAACCTAAAACTGAACATAAGTTGATATTGTTAGATCTGTCTAGTTAAAAAAGATTCAGACTTAAAGATCTAACCAACTACTATAAAACGACATATATTTAGATCAACATTGAAATCTGCACATTTATTCAATACGAAACCTTCATTGTCTCCAAATCAATTCAATAGAAAGTGAATAATAAGATATCTTGTAATTTAATAATTTCTAAATGAATATTATCAGAACTGTAGTAAAACGAAACGATTAGTTGTTAAATAATACATTCAATGAAATGTTATAGGTCATTATCGTAGTTTAACCAAACTAAATGAAATTAAGCATTCTTAATATTCGAAAACTACTTAAAACGCGTTGGTTAGAACAGAAAGAAAGTATCGATTTACTTCTGCAAAGATTAGTGTCTACAGATTGGGTTATGTCGACTACGATAACTTTAACATAGGAGTACCGTAAAATCGCAACTCATCCGAATGAAGAGATAAGTTGTATGACAAGATAGAATGGTCCTGAAGAATTCCATTCAACAATGGCGAATGCTTTTTTATTAACCATTAAGTCGATACTATAAGTATCGTAACAACTGGAGAATAACAAGTGCCTGAAGCATAACATATATTGTTGAACCTCACTGCACCCAATAGAAAGGAGTAAGCTGTTAATGGACTATTTATCCAAACAACAATTATTTTTCTTCTTAGAGATTACAGCAAGGACTGATCTTAGCTAACTATTAACGAAAACTGAAAGTACTGGGAAGTCCTTGTGTAAGACTCGCCAGCTATACTGCAAGGTATCAAACGCGAACGCCTAACATCTAGATCAGTAGACCAGAAATCAATGGTGTAAATGTCTAGTTTTAATAAATTCTGAGCATGATCATAGGTAGGGTCATGGATGTGCATCGCTGAAGAGTTCCGTAATGGGGCGAAACAGCTTTCCAGTGCTTCCTGATTTTCAGTAATGTTCTGACGAAGACCAATGCATGTAAATCAAATGATCTCTACAAAACTTCAATCATAATTATGGTTCTGTTCAAGCTTAACACTATCAACAGGTACAAAATGCTAAATTCATTTACATCACAAATTCAATAGTTTTCCTACTCACTAATATATTTACGAATACACGTATATATATTTCATCTTTAAACTGAGTGGTATGAGATTAGTACTACTGTGGTGTATGCTACTTATGTTGACAGATATAAGTGCTATGTAACACTAATAAGAAGTGGAGTTCCTGGCAGCAGAAAATTGAGAAAATCGAATTGAAGACAACAAGAATGCAAACAGAGAGAAATGTTAATAACAACAGGAATGAAGTAACGATGAAGCTTATAACGGAAAACTGATGCACGATGTGCAAATGATGCATTTAATGTATGGTTTTCATATTTTGCGAAGACATTCTACAATTTTGTATTAATTTTAATAGTTGAATTCATGAGTCGATAGAAGTTAGAATACCACTGATAACCTGGAAGCATTAGACGGCCGTTCCATTCCAGCATGGGACTTCTCAGCATTGAGCATCCACAACTCCGCAGGCGGGACTCAAATCTAGGACATTCGGTTTAACACATTAAACAACAAATTGGTCTTTCCCATATGATTTCTTATTCACTGCACTATTAGGTGTAATTTAACCAATATTTTTAGTCATTTACTTTCTGAAGTAAAATACTTTAAGTCCAAGAACGTAGGAAATTTAATTACCTACTTATTAATATAGAGAATGCTGGTCGGCGGCCTATGCTCTATTAAGAGTAACAGGCGTAAGTAAGTACTTATTAGTATCTTCAAGTTTAAATCATTTCAGTGCTAAACTAATAAATATTAGTGATCAAGTGTAATAATTCTACTCTGTGAAATGTTGATTTTTTTTCTTGACAATCATGGGAGTGGATGAGAATGTATAATAAATGCTTCCTAGTTAGAGTAACCAGTGACTGTTTAAAAAATCATCATCAATCGGTAAGCTGTATTTCACTTTCAATTTAATATGATGAACACTTTAGAAAACATCAGACTGTATCATAAGATGATCCCTAGCTTGAAATCTTGAAGACAAAAGAGGTAAACAAATAATACATGACCGTGCAAGTCAGACGTACACATATAAACTATGAATACCACTTGGCAACAACTGGAAAGTTCAGGACAGAGTTGCAGGAAGATCCTTGGTCGGTGACGTATAACCCAAAGAGGGTGAGCAGGCTTTATTTAACACAATAAAGTAGGACATTTATTCCATATGGATTTAACTAAGTAGAAGAAAAGGAAAAAATTTAATGTCATCACGTCTTTTAAGTTGTACAATACAACACACCGATCTAGACTATACTGGATCAAGTGGATAAATAAACTACCCGGTAAAGTTAATCCGTGAATGGTTAAGTAGTATCTCATCTTCACAATACAACAGATAATAATACTAGGAAGAAATGCTAAATATTGATAAAAACGATGATATCTATTGAAGTTTCTGGTTCGTCTACAGTAATTTTTGTACTAGTGATACTATTGAAGTCGAGACGAAGCTCTTGACTGATACGTTAATGAATAATGGTTATTCTTTGAAGTTCATACACCTCTGGAAGGGTTGCAATACGATTAGACCTATGACGCTTCTGGCACCCAAAAAGTGAGTTTATATTACGTTACCATTCAGAGGCGACACAAATAGACTCATGTTGAAACGGAGACTTAAATTAGCTATCAACCGGACATTTTATGCAGCCCAACTTCTCATTATTGAAAAGACAAGGTCTATGTTTCACTAAAAGCCCAAACAGCACGTAAACGATTGTGTCACATCCCATTGTGTCTATCAATTTACATGTATGTGTGAAAACACGTACATAGTGATTTGCAATTAAGCGTGGGTGAACACATACCAAAATGGTTGCAAAAACAAATAGATTCCAATGGTCAAATAAGATCACAGGATAGACAGACATCATCCTCCATTGCGAAACATTTGATTGAGACGGGTCATAAGGTCGACATCAAATCAGTATTTGTAGTGTTATACAAAAGCCTTCAAGGACGTATACTAAGGTTTATTGAAGCCTTGGCTATACGGAAACTGAAACCCCCTTTATGTGTTCAAAAACAATTTGTCCTTACACTTAACCTACCCTGGTAATACTTATTTATTATCCAGAGTGGTAATCACATTTGTTTTTGCGTACTTTAATATTTTTTTCCTTTGTTATGACTTACCCTTAACCTGTCTAGCTGACCTTTGAATTTTCATATATAAATGTTCTTAAAAAGTATATCTGATCAGATTGTTCGAAATGTATTGAGCTAATATATCATCACATAGTTCTGATAAACTTCGTCTTCTCATTGCATTATCGAAATTTATCAAAGGGACTAATTGTTTTAAACTTTTAAAGTATATAATGATTGAGTTATTCTAATACGAACAGATTCATTGAGGACTCGATGAAGACAGCTGGCACACAACACTAACAATTATCTATTAAATGATGAGTTAGAAGAAAAATAGAGTTGGGTACATATAAACCCATGTATATATACAAACATTACTAGAAAAATGGTTAGATTTGTGTTATATATATATATTGAATACTATCTCATCAAAAATGTATATTTTGTTATATCCCAATCAATAGAAAATTTGTATTCCTAACGTTTCATGACTTGATGTGAGCCACTTTTTCAGAATAATGGAATAACTGGAATAAATTAACACACGTTTAAATAGCACCACTTGTGTTAATTTAATGGATGAGTTCATGAGTCAGTCGAAGCTAGATCACTATGGAAAACTTGAAAGCACTGGATGGCCGTTTTGTCCTAGTGTGCGAATCCTCAGAAGTGCGCATCCACAATCGTACCTTATGAACTAGACTATTAAATTACTACAATACCTACAAAATCACACTCTGATTGTGTTAACTTGTGGTTATTTATTTACTCTTAAAAAGTGGATCATACGAAGTCAATAAACGTCAGAAATACAATTTTTCCACTCAGTGAGATGTAATAACAATGCTCAATTTATTTTAAACTATTAAATCTAAACTTAATATTAATACCTAACTTTATTTATTTGAACACATAAATATTAGTACAAGGGGGCACCAGATACATATGCGCCATACAAATCTCATTTGATTTTTCTGAGGGCTGTGATACTGCTCGGGTGCCCAAATCGAAGCAGGCTAATACCTACCTATAAACTCATT